TTCCAGTCCTGTGGCCACTGCTGAGTTTTCAAAATTTCCTGGCATATTGAGTGCAGCACTTTAACAATATCATCATTTAGGATTTGAAATAGCTCAGCTGGAATTCTATCGCCTCCACTAGCTTTGTTTGTAGTAATGCTTCCTAAGTCCACTTGACTTCACACTCCAGGATGTCTAGCTCTAGGTGAGTGACCACACCATTCTATATTATACTCTACCCTTCTATATTATATGGTTTCTTTGCCTTAGATCCACAGCTCTGAACTTTTGTATATATGCATGTTTCTAGGGGTTGGTGATAGGAGATGAGCAATAGTCATACGTCCCTTTGGGAATTTGATGAAAATTATAGACCAGTTATAGATCCTGTCTGCATAAAAATTCATTTATGAAAAAACATATCAAATACTATATAATTTCAAGGGATTCACAAGCCCTTAAAAGCCTATGAATAAATGCCTATAGCATATGAGATACACATAACATATAGAAATGTACTCAACATATCTGTAGCTTTGCTTAACGATAAGCTGGAATTTATAACCAATAACACTATTAACACTATTTATAACACTATTCTGAACCTATCTACATTTCTAATGATTACTGTTGGAATTAATAAATTCCACTTTTTCTTGTTTATATTGTGTGTTATCTTTTATTTACCTCACACAATAAATTTCTTTTAAAGTACACAACTTTTGTGTTTCAAGGGGTTAAATAGAGCTCTAAAATTACAGAATTTATTGAATAATCTCATGTCATGTTTTGCATATGTTTTCTAATGTTTAAGTTGCTATGATTCCAGACTAAAAAATTCTAATGTCTAAATTGCTATGGTTCCAGACTAAAAAGTTTATTTCTTTCAGCTTTTCTTGATTTGGAAACCCCACTACTAATTTTATCATTTGTTTATTTTCTCTGGATTTCCTTTGACTGTATTATTTTCTTCAAGTTTACAACACAATTACTTATACCACATTAAGAGTAGAAAAACATTTCCTGTTTTATTCTCAATACTTTCCTGTTACTTTTTGACTGTTTTGGCTGGAGCATCACACAATGTCAGTGTCTTCACAAAGAAGCCCACAATTAGTATCATAAATTTATTTCCTGGGATTTGAACTAATTCAACTAACTCAAAAACGCATACCCTTTCCATTATACCACACTAATCAGAAGAACATTACTGTAAATATAAATTTTAATCGTATGTTCATTAGTGTACTCTCTAATGTTTGCTCACACCAAAGCTTAACAACCACTTTTGGGAATGGCTCCACTTGGTGTCACAGTCTTCCTGCATTCACTGTCCATGAGCTCATCATTTTATGACAGCAGAAAATGGTGTCATTTACAAACTTAGGAATTTCCATCTTTATTCACTTATCTGGATATAAATTGTAAAACTAGTGCTAGCCCAAATTCAGCACTTGTTCTAGTAAGTCCTATTGCTCACACTCTTCTACCCCGTGAGGCATCTGCAGTTAAGCATTTAGTTTATCATTTATAGAGCACCCCACATCTTCCCTACCACATGCCAATTATCTTTTGATAGGTTTTACTGCCAAGCCCTGATAAATGCTTTCTGAAAGTCTAAATAAATTACATTTTCTGGCACTCGTCATACACATTTGAATATAACCTTTGAGAATAACGGTGACTACTATTTATACTATACCATGTACCAAACACTGTGCTAGGTTGTTTATACTACCTTATTTAATTCTGAAATTCTGAAATGTAAATGCTATTATTATTATTATTATCATTTTACAGTTAAAAAACTGAGACTGAAAACTCAGAGAATGTTGCCAAAGTTATATTACATATATAGGTGGTGAGGGTCAGAATTCACATCCAGGTTTTTCCAAAACCTAAGTGTATTGAACAGGCATAATTACCCAATTACCTAAAAACAGAATACTACTTTCTTCTAAGCCATACTGATTTGAGTGTCTGTTATAAATTAGGCCCACCCTGAAGGGGATTAAGAGGTACAAACCTCCAGTTACATAATAAACAAGTCTTGAGGATAAAATACACAGCATAAGGAACATGGTCAATAATATTATTATAACTTTGTATGGGGACAGACACTAGACTTATGGTGGTGATCATTTCATAATATATGCAAATATAAAGTCATTATATAGGACACATGAAACTAACATATGTCAATTTTGTTTCAATAAAAACTTTTTAAATAAATGGTTTTTATTTATTTAAAAATGCTAAAATATATTCTTACAAATTATGATACTTTTAATATGTATTTCACAACCTTACCTGATTATAAAGATATTTTACATTTAGGGGATAAATGAAAGCTTTGAGCATTATGTAAAACTGATACTGAAAATATTGTATTTTTCACATATCTATCAATTTAAGAATATTTCATAATTTTAATAAAAATGAGAGAATGCTGAATTTATTACTTCATTCTATAGATAAGATGAGCTCAGCAGTTTAAAATGAATGTTCTAAATTACATAGTTAATAGAAAAGTTGAAATTAATGTATTATGTGTGTATTTCTGTTCTACTTCATTACTGAGCTTAAACATGAATATATTTAAAAAAAAATAAAGTTCTCCATCAATCTCCTTCAGAAAAAATATATCTTTATGTACAGTAGTGATAATTAAAAATAATAAACATTTTTTGTTTTCCAGAAAGAAAATGCATAATTTTTTTAAAATAAATAAACAATTCATGTCCACTTGCCTGTAAGAAAGTCTATAGTTTTCATCACTTACTCTGAGTAATGAAAGGTTCTGTCTGCTTCAACAAAAAAAAACTAAGGGCTGAACACCTTTCTAATGTCTTCCACAGGATTAAAAGTATATTCAAACATCTGGGTTTATTGTGGTTATTACTGTTGCTGTTTTGTTTATTTTCATTCTTGCAACTGGATCATCCAATACTCTGATTCTGAAGACACAATTCCAGCATTTTGAGAACTCTTAAAAACAAAAGACTTTAAGGCATCTGCAAAGCGCTTTTCAAAGTCTATTTCTTTTTCACTTAATTTGGGCTTTATGCCCTTAAAAAGATATACCCAAGTGTCATGAAAATCGAGTCTTCAGCAAATTTGTATAATCTTAAAACATAATTAAAAAAAATTAATACTATGATGACTGGAAACCTGACAAAGAAGAGGAAAGGAGAAGGAAGATATTATTTGAGAGAAAGGTGTGGAGAAACCAGATAAAACTCTACCATACTTTTGGAAAATGGAACTGAAGGAGAGAAACTGCACAGCCAACACTAGCTGTCTCACTAGACAAAGTGTGGTAAAGAAGTGTCAGTGTTAAAGATCTGTTTGCAAATACACTCCCATTTATTCTATCAACTATATATTAATTTTGCTTAATAAAACCCTTTCATAAAATGTAAAAATATACCCTTGGAAATTTAAACCTGTAGGCTCTTGATATCTTCACTGTGAGTTACCATAATTAGATTGTGTACAACTAAGTAAACCTAAGGAGAATGTGAGTTTTAACAAAGCATGAAACACTTCAGAGCAAAAACTATAAAGATCTCTAAAACAGTCTTACAACAGAATGACTGAGAAGGGTGGAATGATGAGACACTAAGGAAGGGTACTGTAGTAAGAGGAAGTGAAAAAATACCTACTTTACAATTTTGCCACAGAAAAATAAGAGGTTATGACTCAATGATCTCAAAGTTTCCTTCCCACTCTATAATTCTATGAGGGTTATTATGCAAAGAATGAATGTTTTACATACCAAATCATAATATACTATGATTTCCTTCCTGGAATCTACACCATCCAGCAAAAGAGCTCTATTTCCTACCTCAACAACATAAAAGAGGAAAATGTATCAAAACTAGTTCCAGACGACAAAAGAGCTTTCTAATAAATTAATAGTGCACCCTTCAATACTGTGATCATCAGTATTTGATAAATGACTGAATGAAATCAGGGGTCCAAAAGAGATATAGATATAAGAATGATCCAAAATCTTTCCCCAGAAATACACTAAATAAGAACCCCCATCAGTCAGAGACACCAAAAGTGAAGACAGGAAAGAATATTTCCCTACCAACCTAAAGGCATTTTCTTTCCCATTTTCCTTTGCCTCCCATCCATTTGTCACCTTACTACAGTTTTTCCTTGAGTAACACGCACGAGGCTGAGATTCACAGGTCCACTTACATGCGGAATTTCCCCCCACTAAATAGATTACCTGTATTTTCATCTTAGAGATCTTTAAATTAATGAAGTATGAGGAGAAGTATGTGTTCCTTTAGAGATCACATATATGGAATCAAAACACTAGAGTTTGAGTCTGATTCTACCCAACGGCTTCAGCTTCTGGACCTCGGGTAAGTCGTGTGTCGACTCCCTGGTTTCTGAGGCAGAGACAGCAATAAGTGGATTTTCCACTGTGTGAGATCGACACCCCTAACCCCTGCGTGGTTCAAGGGTCAACTGTACCTTCCTTTCCACCTCTGAATCGTCCACCAGTCAGCTCTGACTCCATTCATAGTCGCCTCCAGACCTACCCCACATACCGTCCCTTTCTACCTGCTGTTGTGCTTAGTCGCTCAGTCGTGTCCAACTCTTTGTGATCCCATGGACTGTAGTCTGCAGGCTTCTCTGTCCATGGGGATTCTCCAGGCAAGAATACTGGAGTGGGTTGCCATTTCTCCTCCAGGGATCTTCCCAACCTAGGGATGGAACCCAGGTCTCCCGCTTTGCAGGCCTATTCCTTACCGTCTCAGCCACCAGGGAAGCCCTGCTGGTCTCACTTAAATCACTCCACTTAGAATTACCCACACCTGCGGCTTCCATCTGCCTGCTTTCACCAGCCCCCTAGCAATTTCCGGCTAAAGCAGCGGGTTGCGCAGGGCACCATATTCTCCCACAGGATAAGACGATCAGTTCGAACACGACTTGGAAAGGGTTGTGTTTCTGCACCCCCAAAACCAGAACTCCTCCCTTTCCCCTCGGGCGTCCTCACTCACAGCGCACAGTGTGGAAGGCGCAGCGAGGCTGCTTCTCAAAACTGCCCCCTAATTTGAGAACTCGCTCGCGGCTGTCAATATGCGAAGGTCCAGCTGCTCCATTCATTCTTCTCCTGCGGCTCTGACTTTCCCTCAGCCGCTAGCGCCGACCACCAGTTGCCAACTCAGCCTGAACCAGCTGCGCTGTGCAGCCACTACGGACTCCGCCCCGCGCCAGCCGAACGCCGTCCCGCTGGGCGCTGATTGGCTTCCTGGAGAAGGGCGCCCCGCCCCTTGACCGCGAGGCTCTGGGTCCCTGCGCCAACTTCACGCGTTGCGACGCACGCAGTCCCCCGGAGGCCGCGCTTCTGAGGTAACGCGCTAGGAGCCGAGTTCTTTGGTGGAGCAACGCATGGCGGGAATGAGGTAGCGGACTTCAATTGGCGTCTGGGGAAGGAGGAGATCCCGGGATACCCAGAGGGCAGGACCACAGTCTTCTGGACCAAGTGACTGGGCTTTTAGGAGGTCTTTGTAGGAGATCCGGCCTTTTTGAGGAGATGTGTGGAAACTGAGGAGGGGGAGGTGCGGAGAGTAGGCGCGAGGCCTGATGTCTTGTCTGAGGCCTGGTAGCGCCAAAGCCGGGTTTAGAATCTGGAGTAAAGGAGCCCGTGGCCTCAGAGCGCAGTCTGTGGACCTGACTGGAGGTGAGCTGTTATCTCAGCTGTTGTTATTTGGTCTTGTGTTCCTAAGGAAGTTCCAGGTGGTATTAGTACCGAAATGGGGGAGGGGGAAGGGTTGAGGGAAGGTTGTTAAGAAGAGGGGATAAAGATTCAGAGTTAGGAACTGCAGATTTTTAGGATCAGTTGTAGCTAGGTTGCATTGGGTTGCCCTCTTCATTTCTTTTCGTCGCAGAGATCCTTGGCGTTAAGGGCACGGCCTGGAAAAAGAGATTCCCAGAAGATCAAGGCCAGAGAGCTTTTTCTCTGGCAACTGGGCAATAGCATTAATTATTGAAAAATAATATCTTTTGTTTTTTTCCGTCTAAAAAGTTCATGACTTTAAGGGTAAAGATGACAGATGTGCTGTATTAGAGGAGAGGCACCCAAGAGAAAGTTTACGAATGGTTGCCATGACAGCGGTGGCTTTTCAAGGCTTTTCAATTGAACATTCCCTTTCTTAACTGCTATCTTCTCCAAATTGTCATGTGTTGTTGTTCCAGGCAGGAAGATGAACGTGGCAGCCTCAGCCTATCTGCTTGTCTAAATTCTGCTCTTTTAAAAGTGTACTGTTTCCTGTGGTAGTTAAGCACTCAGGTTCTGGAGCCAGAATCTTTGAGTTTGTTTAAACCAGTTTCAAACCCAGTTTCATACTCCACAGAGTGACTTGTGCGAACCAAAGTTAGGTATGCTGATCAGTAAAAATTTGGGGGAAAAAATAATGGTACTTATAACTTACACTTTTTCAGAGGATTAAATGAGGTAGTACAAGAAAGCATTTAAAACCATGTCATAAAGTAAAACTCTCTGAATGGTTATTATTTTTGAGATTTGACTGTCATATAACATTTTAGGGCCATCTTTGGTGGCTGCCTTCTTTTCCAAATTTTAAATTCTTCTGAGGTAGGAATTACTATTTTGTTTACAGCTTAGAAAGCGTGTTCATGGAAGCCCAGTCTTCTGACTCTATGTTTTTCATTCTTACCATCTATATCATGTATTTGGCATTTAACATATTTTATAGAATTAAGTATTTTATTTTACATACGTGTGTATATGAGTATGTGGACACTTTTCTTTCCTGAATGTGAGCAGAGAATCTGTCCTATATAAAATCTTGGTGACCCTTACCTCTGTTATAGAGCCGTGTGCTTGTTTGGTGATGATGATGATGTTTCAGTAATGTTTTATTATGTTAACCAGAGATCAAGAACAGTGTTATAAGTCTGTTTTACTTTAAAAAGGCTTTACAGCAGAAATCTAAAGTTTCCATCATATAACAAGGGTAAAAGTAAAACGTCAAGAAATTGAAGTTTTGGAATACCCAAAATTTGTGTGTTTATTCATTCTTTCAATCTACATAAATATTAAGATATTAAGTACCTACCACCCACCAAATACTAGTCTATCTTCTGGGAATATAGCAGTGAATCAAAGAGATGAGAAGGCAGCCACCAGGAATGGTATGAGTTTTACCCTTGTGAGGCTTACCTTCTAATGTGAATTTTCTCTAAACATATATTAAATAAGCTATATTGTACTAGCTAGCTCAGGAAGAAACAGATTAATGAACTAAATAGAATCCAAAAATATATTGAAGTGACATTTCAGATTGCTTCTCTTGTATCCATTCATGATAAATTACCTCAAGAGTTTATGAAAACTATGTGCATTTGTTTTTTTCACCAGTCTGTAACTTCATCTAACTTTATAACTTCCTATCATATACCATTCAGAAAATTAACTTACATATGTTTTGAAGGTTAAGTTGTAAGTAAATGAAGATATAAGTAAAACAATCATAAAAAATATAGAAAAATTTAGGAGATTATATTTTAGCTCTTAGGGTAGGAAGGACCTTTGTAAGCATGACACCAAGGGTAAAAGGCATAGAAGGAAAGATTGTTATACTTGACTACATAAAAATTGTAAATCTCTGGTAAAATGTAATTAAACTTTAAAAAATAAATGGCCGACAAGGATAAAGTGTTTATGACAGTGAAAGTGTTAGTCCTTCAGTCCTGTCCAACTCTTTGTGACCCCATGGACCATAACCTGCCAGACTCCTCTGTTCATGGAATTCTCCAGGCAAGAATACTGGAGTGAGTTGCCATGCCCTTCTCCAGATCTTCCCAACCCAGAGATCACACCCATGTTTCCTGCACTGCAGGCAGATTCTTTACCTTTTAAGCTACCCAGGAAGCCAAAATGTAAATGTGTTTACAGCCAATGTAAAAGATAAAGGGTGTCTAATCCATATATAAAAAGCTTAAAGCTTCTACAAAGGAATAAGACAAGCTAATAGCAAAATTAAGGGGTGTAAATAGAAAATATGTAAAAAAAATGGCCAGTAAACGTGGAACATGTTGAACCCCCCTAATAATCAAAGAAACAGAAATTAAAACAGGATGATACCATTTTTCACCTAGCGAATTGACAAAAATGCAAAATATAACATTACTTACTATTAAAGGCTTAGTAAAATGAGCACCTTCAAACATTGTTGCTGGAAATATAAATTGGAACATCTATTTTGGAGTAAAGTTTATTGCTTAATGAAAAAATTTAAGAATATGTATCTTGTCATCCAGCCATCTGACTTGAAGGGAAAAATTCATCCCACAAAGAACTATCATGAGTACATAAGACATGTACTTTGATATTCATTGCAGCATTCCTTATAATGGCATATACTCTGAACGACTTCCAGTAGAGGAGATGCTTAAATATATTTTGATGCACTATTATGAAGGAAGCATAGCATAATACAGCCATTGGAAAGAATGAGATTAACTCTGTCCACTTTCTTGGAAAGTTGTATGCCTTCTATGTGCCAAGAGTTGTGCTGGGCTTTTTTAAGAAATGTTTCCACAAAACTTATTTTTTTAATGATTTATATTTTACCTTATAAGGAATGCTTTCTGGATGCCTGTATTATCACCAAAAATGTGAATTGTGGTGCCAGTTATGAAGAACAATAGCTTAAAAAGTGAGTTAGAAATAGGTTTTTGGAAATATGTTTCGTGTTTTTTACTCTTTTATGTGGGAGGGGATATTGAACATTAAAATGGAAATTTGAATCATATTGATCTGTATTTGAATACTTACTCTACCACATGGAGGAGGGGTGGTGGAACAATGAAGGTTTATTCTTCAAACTTTACTTTTTTTTAATCTGTAAAGTGGAGATGAATAAAGGCTCTGCCTCATAGTCCTGTTGCAAGGATTAAATGAGATAATGCTTATGAAAGCACTTCACATGGTGCTTAATTCAAAGTAAACAATGTTATGTTAGCCTTTATTAATTATAAATAAATAACATCTATATTTTTTATGGTTTCTTTGAGCTTTGGATGCCTTAAAACTTTTTTTAAAGAAAAGGTTTAGCAACAAATTAAATTAGGATGTGGATTTTTTTTAAGATAATTGATTTTTGTTTACTATGCTATTTATAAACAAGCTTTGGTTATTTTATAATAAAATTTCTGAATTATGTGTTGGGAATCCCCAAGACCAACTTCAGGTTCAGTGATTTGCTAGGAGGGCTCATAGTTCTCAAGATATAATTATATTCATAGCTATGATTTATTATACTACAAGGACACAAAATAAAGTCAGCAAAGGGAGAAGGCACATGAGGTGAAGTTCAGAGGAAAACAGGTACTCTCTTCCAAGAGAGCCCTATCCCAATGGAGTCACATAGGATAATGCTTAATTCTTCCTGCAATTGTGATAACGTGTTGAAGTGTAGTCTACCAGGGAAGCTCACTAGCAACTCAGTGACCAGAGTCTTTATTGGAGGATGGTCATGTAGGTGTCCTCTGCTCAGTTCAGTTCAGTTGGTCAGTCGTGTCCAACTCTTTGCAACCCCATGAATCGCAGCACACCAGGCCTCCCTGTCCATCACCAACTCCCGGAGTTTACTCAAACTCATGCCCATCGAGTCGGTGATACCATCCAGCCATCTCATCCTCTGTCGTCCCCTTCTCCTCCTGCCCCCAATCCCTCCCAGCATCAGGGTCTTTTCAAATGAGTCAACTCTTCGCATCAGGTGGCCAAAGTATTAGAGTTTCAGCTTCAGCATCAGTCCTTCCAATGAACACCCAGGACTGATCTCCTTTAGGATGGACTGGTTGGATCTCCTTATGGTCCAAAGGACTCTCAAGAGTCTTCTCCAACACCACAGTTCAAAAGCATCAATTTTTCGGCACTCAGCTTTCTTCACAGTCCAACTCACATCCATACACGACCACTGGAAAAACCATAGCCTTGACCAGATGGACCTTTGTTGCCAGAGTAATGTCTCTGCTTTTTAATATGCTATCTAGGTTGGTCATAACTTTCCTTTCAAGGAGTAAGCGTCTTTTAATTTCATGGCTGCAGTCACCATCCGCAGTGATTTTGGAGCCCAAAAAAATAAAGTCTGACACTGTTTCCACTGTCTCCCCATCTATTTCCCATGAGGTGATGGGACCAGATGCTATGATCTTAGTTTTCTGAATGTTAAGCTTTAAGCCAACTTTTTCACTTTCCTCTTTCACTTTCATCAAGAGGCTTTTTAGTTCCTCTTCACTCTCTGCCATAAGGGTGGTGTCATCTGCATATCTGAGGTTATTGATATTTCTCCTGGCAATCTTGATTCCAGCTTGTGCTTCTTCCAGCCCACCATTTCTCATGATGTACTCTGCATATAAGTTAAATAAGCAGGGTGACAGTATACAGCCTTGGTGTATTCCTTTTCCTATTTGGAACCAGTCTGTTGTTCCATGTCCAGTTCTAACTGTTGCTTCCTGACCTGCATACAGGTTTCTCAAGAGGCAGGCCAGGTGGTCTAGTATTCCCATCTCCTTCAGAATTTTCCACAGTTTATTGTGATCCCACAGTCGAAGGCTTTGGTGTAGTCAATAAAGCAGAAATAGATTTTTTTTGGAACTCTCTTGCTTTTTCGATGATCCATTGGATATTGGCAATTTGATCTCTGGTTCCTCTGCCTTTTCTAAAACCAGCTTGAACATCTGGAAGTTCTCGGTTCACGTATTGCTGAAGCCTAGCTTGGAGAATTTTGAGCATTACTTTACTAGCGTGTGAGATGAGTGCAATTCTGCAGTAGTTTGAGCATTCTTTGGGATTGCCTTTCTTAGGGATTGGAATGAAAACTGACCTTTTCCAGTCCTGTGGCCACTGCTGAGTTTTCCAAATTTGCTGTGCTACCATGTACCAAAATTCCAGACTTCAGAAAGGAAAGCAGGTGTTCAACATAAACCACATTGTTTTTATGAACAGTTTAGGCCCAGTGAACCACACTCATATTAAGAAATTGATGGAAACCTTCTGAAATCTAAGTTCTTAGACACCAGCCAAACAGCCAGGCTTATAAGGAGACCTTTGAAAATGATAGCAGTCTTAGGCCTGTATTGGGCTTCCCAGGAGACTCAGTGCTAAGGAATCTACCTGCCAGTGCAGGAGATGCAAGAGATGTAGGTTCAAACCGTGAGTCGGGAAGATCCCCTGTAGCAGGAAATGGCAACCCAATAGCAACTCCAGAATTCTTGCCTGGAAAATTCCATGGACAGAGGAGTCTGGTAGGCTACACACGGGGTCTCAAGAAGTTGGACACAACTAAGCACACATACACACACAGGCTTGGATTAGCTCTTTTCTGCACACTTTGTCTTTTATGATAAAAGAAAATTAACTCCTAACCTAGGATTGTTGTGCAGATTAGAGAGAGTGAGTGTGACACACCAAACACAGTTTCAGACTCTTAGTGAGTGCACAATAAGCAGTACCTACTGTAGCTGTTACATGAAGGTATAAGAATCTCTAACTGGAGAAATCCAAGTTTCTTCCTATAAGGAAGAAATGAGAGACATCTACCTTTCACTTTTCAAACCAAGCAAAGCTATTGCCTTTTGTGTTTCATATGTTATTTAGGGGGTGACCTAACTAAGGACTGTTGACCTTTATGTTTTTGATTCTGTTGAATATAGGTGGTATGAGAAATGAAGCCAACAGGTACAGACCCGAGAATCTTATCTCTGGCTGCTGAAGTTGCAAAAAGTCCTGAGCAGAATGTACCTGTTATACTGTTGAAGTTAAAAGGTAAGAAAATCTTTTTTGTGATTAGCTAATTTGTTTAAATATCAAAACAAATTCCATCATATTAGCATTTGTTTTTAATTTGTTCAGTGAAATCTTAACATTGTGATAAAGCAGTGATTTCTTCCTTTTTAATGTATTTTTAGTTTTTATTCAACCTATAGAAATACAGATAGCTCTTGGATTTATTGAGCATAAATAAGTATATCTTATTTCCTTTTGCCTTAGAAATAATAAACAACACACCTTTAGGAAGCTCAGAGTTGAAGAAAATCAAACAAGATATATATTGTTATGATCTCATTCAGTATTGCCTCTTGGTCCTCAGTCAAGATTGTTCTCGTATCCAGGGTGGTTGGACTACAGTTTCCCAGCTAACACAGATATTAAGGTAAAATGAAGCAAAAAATCAGCTTTTTGTTGAGGGATATAGTAGTAGATTCTTATTTTTAAATTTGCTTTCTTTTCTTAAAATCTCGCTAACAAACATTGACAACTGCTTCCATGGTATGTTATGGATGTATATTGTTCCTAACTGTACTTGTGACTATTTCACCATCTAAAATTTCACTCTGTAAGCTCTGCGAAGATGATGATCTTGTCTCATGGTCACCACTGAATCCCAAGACCTTATAGACTCTTTATTGGCTAAAGAATATTAAAGAAACCAAGAGATTAAGACTCTGGCTCTATACTGGAAAAACTTAACAGTAGAGATGTGTTGACAGTCATGTGGATTTATTATACAAGGCATAATGAAAGAGGTACTGAAATGAAAGGCATTTCAGGAGAGATACAGAAACTTCATTTCACAGTATATTGATTTAGCTATCTCAAATTTATATTTCATTGGTAACCCAAATCATGCCAATAAATTTAGAAGCAGCATTTACTGATCTATTGCCACCCTAGAAATTAAGAGAAAAAGAGATCAAAACCATTTTTTATATAGGGGGCAATAAAATAAGCCAGATGTTCTCAGTGTCTAAGCAGCTTCCTAATTAAGTAACTGAAAATGTGCAGTACGCATTGGATCTTAGGTTTTGAAACTGCTTACTCATAATTAAGGATAGATAAAGGCCAGATTCAAACTATACCATTAGGTATACCTTAACAACTGTATATAATATTTTATACCTTAATTTTCAAGATTATTTCCTGAAGTAAAAAAAGCCTTATGTCTTTGTTTTGTTAGATATGTTAGCTCATGGAAATATTGATTGAGCTAGACTCTCAGAAGTAGACTCCAAGTCTCAAGAAATCCACATGTTTGTGAATGTACAAAAATGTATTTCACTTATTAACTTTTTCAGTAAATATAGTACTTTTAATTAACTTTAGAAACGAAAGGGAAAAGAGAAACTGATGCATATGGGTATAAGTCTCTTGACCTTCAGAACCAATATGCAAAAAAAAAGACGTATTAGTTAAGTTTTTAGCATACTCAATATGTAGTAACTGTTACACAAGCCTCAGGCATCAGTACTTACTCATTAGAGTACAAACATAGAGACTGTTCTTGGATTGGGGACTTTTTTTGGTATTAGTTTGCAGAAATACTTTTTATTATTGAACTTTTTAAATATACTCATTTCATACCTAGGGGATGACTTTATTTATGGTTTCAAGAGGACCCATTTTTCTAAGTGACCTTTCATTGTATGCTGTGGAATGTATCTACTAGAGTTTTTGCTGTTTGTCCTTCTGATGTTGGGAATATGCAATCAGATATTTTTCAGGTTTTAGGAAAGGAGATCTCTTGGAAAGAATTGGTATAAAATTAGAGTGTTCCATTTCCTAATCTGTCCCTTGTAGACTAATACTACCCTAGCTATTTTTCAGCTGTCTCATGTCTAAAATGTATCAGTTAATACATATGTTATTCCCAAGTTAAATTCTCAAGGTATTCTATTGCTTTTAGAGTGTGTGTAGCCCATTCACCAAAAACTTGCCTCTTTCTCTTTATTGTGAGCCAAGTGTATTTTGTTTCCTGTAGAACTAACAAGTAAATTTTTAGAAAATAGATATGCTAGTTCTAAGTATAGGCAAAATTCACACCACTGTTTACTTGTTAACAAAGTTGTTATACTAACTGTCCATTAAAAATTCTTTATTGACTTGACAACAAAAGAAAGATACTAAAAATTCTCATTAAGACACAGTGTCTAGAAGCCTTAGCGTTTGTCTAAAATTTGTAATTGGCGCAAACTGAGTCACAAACTTATGCTCTTATTTCAGTCATTGCTGTGTTGGCTTGGAACCAGGAGAAGATGCAGAAGAATTTTACAATGAATTACTTCCATCGGCTGCAGAAAATTTTCTGGTTTTGGGGAGGCGATTACAAACATGTTTCATCAATGCAGCTAAGGTATGTTTGTTTACTTAGGGGTTTGTGTTTTGTAGCCAAAACTGTTTAATTCTTGAGGTGATATTCCACATTGTTTTTTAGATGTGCAATATTTGGCTGAAAGTACAGTTAGAGTGGCTTCCAAGGTGGCTCAGTGGTAAATGATCCACCTGCCAGGCAGGAGATGCGGGTTTAATCCCTGGGTCAGGAAGACCCCCTAGAGAAGGAAATGGCAACACATTCCATAATTCTTGCTTGGGAAATCCCATGGACAGAGGAGCCTGGTAGGCTACAGTCCATCAGGTCGCTAAGAGTCAGACAGGACTGAGTGACTTCATTTCACTTTTCACTTTCATGCACTGGAGAAGGAAATGGCAGCCCAGTCCAGTATTCTTGCCTAGAGAATCCCAGGGACGGGAGCTTGGTGGGCTGCCATCTATGGGGTCGCACAGAGTCGGACACAACTGACGTGATTTAGCAGCAGCAGCAGCAGAGTAATGGATTCAAACATTTTAGCTACAAAAAAAAACCTTTATAGTTGAAAATTTTACAGTGCTGACTGAAGCATATTGTATGACACTATGCTTTTTGAAGTATCTGCTTTACTACTGAGTTTTGAGCAACACCCATAGATATTTATTTCCATAGCATAATTTCTTTAATTAATAGTAGAGGAAAGTATTGTTTTCTAAGCCCAAGGCTTTTCTTTGTTAACTCCAGTGGTAAAGAAGAAGAAAAGTGAACTTTCTATTTGCTCATTCAGATCCTCTCTAGTCAAAATATTGCAACCAAAACATTTGGGTTCATATCAGTCCAACAAATATTTCTTGAGTGAATTATGCTGAACAGTATATGTACTTTTTTTTTTTGACCCATGGATTATTTTGAAGTATGTTGCTTAGTTTCCAGATATTTGAGGATTTTTTTGATATTTTATTGTTATCAGTTTCTAATTTAATTCTGTCATAGTCAGATAACATACTGTGTCATTTCAGTCCTATGTCTCCTGTATTGGCAGGTAGATTCTTTACCACTGAGCCACCAGGGAAGCCCTGGATCTGATTTCTTTTTCTGGCTGTGCCACAAACTAACTCTGGATTCTTACACAAATCACTTGATTTCATTCTCCTCAGTTTCCTCCTTTGTAAAATGAATTTCCATCTCATGAAGAGTTCAGACCATTATGAAAGCTTTATGTTTTCATCAAAGCACTTTTATTTAATATTCCCCATTTAAAGGCAGTAATAATAATATTATTTTCATTCATATTGTCCTTCAATACATTTCATAATACTTCCCTATTTGTTATTATGGTGTTTGTATAGAGATAAAAAATTTTTTAGTATATCCATCAAAGGGAGTAAATAGCTACAAAAAAAAAAAGAGGGCCCTTTGACTACAGAAGAAATTAAAATTGGTGGATAAAAAGATGATGACAAGAGAAAGAGGATTCAGTGCACAGGCCCAGAAGGGCCCAGAAGTAGTGTCCAGAATCCAGGCAGGAAGCTACTGTCTTAGTCCATGACTCAGGTGCTGGTGTGGCAGGTGCTGGTGTGATGGACAGGCTGGTTGAGCAGGAGGACTCGCTGTCTTTGACCTCAAGGCCCAGCCTCTGCCTCTGAGCCCATTCAGTTCCTGCCTCTGCCTCTGAGCCCATTCAGTTCCTCCCATAGTACTTGTTTGTTGATGGGTTATCATGGCATCAGCAGCACAGACTAAAATGAAACAGTTTGGACTTTGGTTTAAAATTAATTAAAATTCTGTTTCTGCTGTCAACAAAGAATAACAAGAAAATTGAACTTATCTATTAATTCTATCTACCTAGTAGTTTGTCAATCATATATATTTTTAAATTAGTTGGTATGTTGGTAATGGAGTACATAGTGGGACATCATAGGATTTTATGGCCTAAACTGAAAACTTGTTAAAATATACATATATACAGGCATACATACATATGTGTATACACACAGACACACACATACATACATATATTCTATGTTTAAGAATAGAAAAGCACCTATGCCAGAATTTTGAAGTGACTTAGGGATACATTTTGTTAACCAGTCTCAGAGGCTATGAATTTAAGTTTGACATTATCTGATGGACTTTTAAAAGAAAGTAGTAATTTTAGGAACCCAGCAATATCCTTTGAGATTGGTAGCGATGAAGATTATGTGCCCTTTCTTTTCAGTGAAACTGGCTAAGGCAGTTTATTGGACTAAAGGGATTCTTGATCTAATGTGACACTTCTTTCTTTTTTGATTATTGTTATATTTGTTAGTACATGTCTGTTTAACCACCTGTCTAACCTTGCACTAGAATAATAGGAAGAAAATGCTTTCATTATTATAAAGAGTAACCATAGCAATCATATTTTTGCTGTTATTACTTTTATGCCATAGTGCATTCAGAACATGGATGAGATTAATGGCCTTTATATTAACTTTGCAGTAAAATTACGTGGCCAGGGAAAGACAGAACTGTGAATGTATTCTGTTTCTTATTTCCCACTTTGACACATACTCTAATCTAGAATAATTCCTCACTCTACTTTCCAGAAGGAAAGAAGCAGAAAAAAATTGTCCTTTATTTATTGGATAAATATTGATTTAACTGTGTGTTTGAACTGTTTTAGACACTGGGTGTATAGTATATAGTGGGTGTATAGTGGAGAGCTAAATAACATGGTCTCATGCTCTCATGGAGTCATAGAGTAGAAGCTGCAACTGAAATATGCTGAATGCTTTATATGCTGACATCTATATGTGCATATTGCAGTGATATTCAACCCTGGCTGCATACCCAAGTCACCCACCTAACTGTGTAAAAAGTAGATGTCTAGACTTTTAACTTTGGAGATTCACATTTCCGTATGTTTGGACTAAAACCTGTACATAGGAATATTTTTAAAACTCCATAGATGATTCTTATGAATGACTGGTATCAAAAAATCCTTAGTGTATAAGCTTATAGTTCTTATGCTTCTTATATTGTCCCATCTGACCTCTGGATAGCAACCACTTCTGATATATATTACTAGCCTTAACTGCAGTTTTATAAATTAAGAAAATAAAAGCTTCAAGATTATATACCTCATAAATAGCTAAGATAGATCCAAAAACCTGGTCCTAAGACTCCCCAGAGAGAAGTCTACCTTTTATTAATTAAAACAATTACAGTAAAGTCAATTCTTGTGTGTGTGTTAAGGGTGAAGAAAAAGATGCATTACTACACTTTTTTGAAGTTGTGACTGATTCTCTCTTCTGGCTATTGGGAGGCCATGTTCAACTCATCCAAAATGGTAAGAGAAAAGATTTTTAATGTAACTGATGGTCATTGTAGAGTCACCTGCTAACAGTTTGATTTTTTTTTTTCTAAAACAAAAACTTCATTAAATACAGATAAATACAGTTAAGTAAAAGCACATTGAAATAACCCCATACACAAAAAGTAAAGGCAAATTTGGATGTTCCAGCTTTAAACAGACAACATTAACAATAATATTACATTAAGGGGAGTATTGCTAAAATAAAACTTTCTCCTTAGCTTTTTCTATGTAGCAAATTTAAAATAAGGCTTAATAACTTTAACAGTTTATTCTAGGGGAAAAGTTTTTTATGTTTGTTTTGAAGATTACAGTTGTATTTTTAGACTTAGTGTGACAGAAATCCTTATGTAAAGAGTATAGATGTGATTTAACTCACAGCCTAACTATTGAGGTAAGATTAAGCTTTTATATGGTGACATTTTACTAAACTGGAAAATTTATAGGCTATTTCTGTACATTGAAAAATATATGTTAGTTTTATGTTTCCTTAAGACTAGAAAGTAATTTTTAATAATAAGTATGACAATGTTCCTCCCTTCTTAAAGGATTTACTCTAAGAAAAATGTAATATATAGAATAATATAAGAACATTGATATTTTTAGAAAGTAAAAATTGAGCTGAATATTAATATTTTATTTTTGACTTTCAGAATTATGCATGTACATCATTTACAGAGTCAGAGAGTTCCATAAGGATTATTTAAAAACACATAAACACAGTCCTTGGCCCTCACACCTCTCTCCATTTCCCATTTTCCAAAGGCAGTTACTTTCATGCTGAAATACTTGCTTTAAAAAAAAAATTATCTGTTCATTTCCCTTTATGGAAAAAATATTATTATAAACTTCCCTACTATAAGAACTATTTTACCAAAATGTAAAGAGCTTAGCTACACTATGGTGTAATACTAAAAACCTAGTTAAAAGAGAGACAGCAGGAGACAGACTATGTGAAAAAAGTTTTAAATATGCCATATTCCTTTTCAAAATAATAACTATAACAAAAGTGACAATATTTCTCAGGTCAATCTGTCAATTTAAAACATCAATAAAATAGGTATTAAATAGGATGTCCAGTAAGTTTTTCTCTCAAAAGAACCACTTCCTTGGAGAAATGGCTGACTGTATATAGGTATGAGGTAGAAAATATGCAGTACCCTGCATATTACCAGCCAGAAGTATCTTGAATACTAGATAGGAAGGAAGCAGTCAAAGTCTGTTAGGATTTTGTGAAAAGGACTCGAGAGCCAACATAAGGAGGCTTCTGCTAGCCAGAAATGGGAAAATTGAACAGTAATGGGGGTAATAACTACAGTGGATTAAAACACATTAAATATAGTGAGATTATTAACTTTAACCTTTTACTATGGGAAGTAGAATAGTTTAATTAACCCCTATGTACTCGTCACTGAGATTCAATCATTATTAACATTTCTCTAATCTTTTTATTACTTATTTCCTGCCACAATTAAAAACAGTTAGCATTAGAGTCTGCTAGGGAACCAATTCATTTTGAAAACTGGTAATAAATAAAGAGTCCATCATTTATACTGCCTTTTCTTACATATTGATGAGGAAAATTTTTTCTTTATAAACATATTCCAGCTAATAAGTAAAAAGGGTATGATATAATCATGCTATTTTACAACCTTTAGTGAATTAATTATCCATCACTGTCAACATCTCAAAAGGCGAGACCGTCAGATATGAAGTGCCTCATTGTAATGTCTCATTATAACCTCACATATGACATGTAACAAAAATTCAAACATGAATCATTTTGATCCTGGAGCTCCAACTACCAATTTGTAGAAGGTCAGAGAAACATTAAATTACACCAGAGGAAAGCAGTTAGCAAAAGTAAACTATGGGAGGTTCAAAAGACAATTGACATAATTTTGTAAACAAATAAACTGCAAAGGGAAAAAGGGTAGAGTAGAAACCCATAGGTTAAAAGAAATTTGAGAGATAACCAGTTACATTGGTGGCTCCTGTTTGGATCCCAGTTCAAGTAAACTTCTGAAAATTCACCAAAAAAATGGCAATAGGAGCCGTGACTGGATATTTGGTAAAATCAGGGAATCATAATTATTTAGGTTAGATAGTGGCTATATTTTATTTTTTAATAATTCATACATGATATTTTGGGAATATGTATTGAAATATTTCTGGATAAAATTATTTGATATCTTGGATTTGCTATCAGATAAAATGGGAGGCAGGAATTAGATGGGGTAGGTGAAGCAGGAGTGGCCATGCGTTGATCATTGTTGAAGCTGGGTGACTAATACATGCAGGGTCGTATATACTACTCTTATACATGTTTGAAACTTTAATTGTAAACTTTAATTTAAAAAAATTGACAAATATCAGTTTTTGTTGGGAGACCAAATAGTTATCTGACTATACTTGAAAACAATATAGGGGCTCCAAAAACAAATCTTATAATAATATAACATAAATGTTATTAAAGTAGAATAACTTCAACAAATTATTTTATCATATTTTTTCCAAAATAGAGAAAAGACATATAAACACTGCATACTACATGATTTCAGTGAATTCAGAATTAAACAGTTATTAATAAACATCTTTAGGTAGACAAAAATAGAAAAATACACTTATCCCAGCTACAGAGAATTTTTTTGCTATTGAAAAATAGAAAATAAAAAACCATAAAAATATTTAATAATATCAGAAGTTTTTTGAAGTTGTTAGACTTTTAAAAATGGTATCTAGTGAAATATTGGATTATGTAAACAGAAATGAAGAATAGTAATTAGTATGTGAAAGAAATCAAATATGTCCCCTCAGGAGACTGAAAGAGGGAAAAAATGTGTAGAAGCTAGGATAGTGTTCACAGAGCTGCCTTGCCAGCATACCTGATCCCACTTTAATTAAAATTCTGGTCAGTTAATGAACAAAGGACTATTAAGTGACATTTAATGGGAACCTATGCTGTTTCTCCCTGGAGAAGGAAATGGCATCCCATTCCAGTAGTCATGCCTGTATACTCCCATGGACCGAGGAGCTTGGTTGGCTACAGTCCATGGGGTCACAAAGAGTTGGACATGACTGAGCGACTTCACTTCTTCACTTCATGCTGTTTCTAGACAAACCTAGATAGTGTATTGTCAGCCTGCTTATTTAACTTCTAAGCAGAGTACACCATGCAAAATGCTGGGCTGGATGAAGCACAAACTAGAAATCAAGACTGCTGGGAGAAATATCAGTAACCTTATATATGCAGATGACACCACCCTTATGGCAGAAAGCAAAGAGGAACTAAAGAACCTCTAGATGAAGGTGAAAGAGGAAAACTGGCTTAAAACTCAACATTCAGAAAACTAAGATCGTGGCACCTGGTCCCATTGTTTCATGCAAATAGATGGGGAAATAATGGAAACAGTGGCAAACTTTATTTTCTTGGGCTCCGGAGTCACTGCAGATGGTGACTGCAACCATGAAATTAAAAGACACTTGCTCCTTGGAAGAAAGGCTGTGACCAACCTAGACAGCATATTAAAAAGCAGAGACATTACTTTGCCGACAAAGGTCCGTTTAGGCAAAACTATGGTTTTTCCAGTAGTCCTGTACAGATGTGAGAGTTAGACCATAAAAGAAGGCTGAGCACCAAAGAATTGATGCTTTGGAACTGTGGTGTTGGAGAAGACTCTTGGGAGTCCCTTGAACTGCAAAATCAAACCAGTCAGTCCTGAAAGAAATCAACCTTGAATATTCATCAAAAGGACTGATGCTGAAGCTGAAGCACCAATACTTTGGCTACCTGATGTGAAGAGCCAGTTCATTGAAAAAGACTCTGATGCTGGGAAAGATTGAGGGCAGGAGAAGAAGGGGATGACAGAGGACAAGATCATTGGATAGCATCACTAAGTTAATGGACTTAAGTTTGAACAAACTTCTAGGAGATGGTGAAGGACAGGGAAGCCTGGCCTGCTTCAGTCCATGGGATCACAAAGAGTCTGACCTGACTTAGCAATTGAACATAACAACAACCCTGTTCTAGGACATTTTACAGTAGTCTGTGAGAGAGTTGTTAGTTTTAACTTTACAGAGGAAGAAGTAAGATTTTCTGAGAGGTTAAGTGACTTGCGTAAGCATGTAGTGCCAGGTCTTCATAACTGGCTGTTCAGAGCCTAAAAATTACAAACCAAATACTCTTATGGGTAGTTAGTGATTTTATTATTATTTAAGACAAGGTATTAGCAAATATGGTACATTATATAACAATTAAATTTTTAAGTACATGAGCTGCTGATTATAATCATCTGAACTATTGCTATTCCTTCATATTCTCTTTTTCACAGAAAATGTGATTGTCTTCACTCAAATCACTGTTAGAAAAGGAGACTCAGTTTTAGGATATGTTGTATTTTATTTTAATTTAAGGGAAGATAATGATACATTCTTAGCTTAGTATTTCTTTATTTGTAACTGTTCATAAAAATGGAATAATTGCCTTATTATGGTTATGGAAATAACCAAGTATAACTTTACTGCAAAGTATATCAAGGCAGAAAGTTTAGCAGAAATGTTTATGCTTTGATCTGGTCTTGAAGAGACAAGTAAATCCCAGTTGTATCATCATAGAATCGTAATCTTTCTTTTTTTCTCTTTTTTTTAGTACTGCAAAGTGATCATTTCTTGCACTTGCTGCAAACTGATAATGTTCAAATAGGATCTATGGTCCTGACTATGCTACAGAACATACTGCAGATCAATAGGTGATTTGGCTTTATAAAATATATAGAATTTTTTATTTTTGATTAGAAGCATTACCAGTTTTACTAAAATCAATTGTATATGACTTGTACATAACATTTAAGAAGCTTTGTTATTACCATTGTATTTTTAAAAAATGAATATAAAAAAATATACTGTAAAAGAAAGTTTATTATTGAATTTGTATCTTATTTCAGAACTTAGCCCTATTTCAGTCTTAGAGAAGAAAAATTACTGTGATATCTGAAGGAGAATATTGGGATCACAATAATAAATGACTAATCAGGTAGCATCACTGACTCAATGGACATGAATCTGAGCAAACTTCAGGAGATGGTGAAGGACAGGGAAGCCTGGCATGCTACAGTCCATGGGATTGTAGAGAGTCAGACACGACTTAGTGACTGAACAATCATGTACTTATTTAGCAGACTGCAAGCTCAGTATTTGCCAAGTGCTGTGCCCTTCTAGAGTATAAAAGAAGTAATAGACATTTTCCCAGGTTAAAATAGAAAGGCAGAGTAAACACTGTTGAAATCATTGATCTTTTTCAGCTCAATATGGATTTATTAAGCATCTAGTATATGTGCCAAGTATTGTCTAGCATTGGATTTATAAAATTGACTAAGATATGAACCTTATCTTCAAATAGCTTACAGTATAGTGGGAGAGACTAATACATAAACACAATTATATTACAGTATAATAAGGTACAATGTTAATTAAGTATTAAGAGGTGCTCCTAAACCAAACTGAGGTGGGGGATACTTCCAGGAGAATGTAACACCTGAGATGAAACTTTAAGGATGAGAAATTAACCAGTGAGGAGAAGAGAAAACAATATTTCTAGGTAGAGGTAACAACATAAGCAAATGCACAGAGATAAGAACATATAGAACATGAAAAGTAGGCTAGAGTTCATAAGACAAGATATCATGGAAGAGAGAACTACACAAAGAGAGAACCCCAGAGATCTGTAGAATCCCCTTCAAGTTTTCAGTAGAGTATTGATCAGCACATGCATTTGAGGAAACTACTCAATGTCTTGGAAAAGTATTCCAAAAGGATTAAAAGGAGCAGTACCAGAAACACACAGAGCCAGAATGCTGCCTGATTCCAGCTGCAAAACTGGAAAATTTCATGAAAAATGGAGTATTAGGTAGAGTACTCAGGATAGTTTCTTCTTGGTAGTGGGGGATAATAGCAGTAGAATGAGTACTTTTGTGGATCATCTAAACAATAAAGGCAAGATCTGAAAGGATCAAATTATTTCCAGGCAATTTCACTTCATCTGGTTATTGAAACTGCCTATATCTTAAAATAGTGTACAAAGGCAGGAAGTTTAGCAGAAATGGTCATACTTTGATTTGGCTTTAATAAGATGAGAAAATCAAACTTGTGCAATCATAGAATCTCTATTTTGATCTCTTTTTTTTCCCTCTATCTTCCTTTAGTAATAAAAAGTAATCATTTCTTGCAGGAATCATTTCTGCAAACTGATGATGTTCAGTTAGGGTCTGTAGTCGTAACTATGTATAAAATTCTAGAAAATGTAAACTAACCTATAGTGACAGAGGTATAAATAAGGTGCCAGGGAGGGTAAGTGGAGAAGGAGTACAGTGAAACAAAAGGAAACTTTAAGGGGTGATGGGTATATTCATTATCTTTATTGTGATGGGGAAATGTCAAAATTTAGCAAATTATACATTTAAATATGTGCAGTTTGCTGTATATCAGTTACACTTTAATGAAGCTTGCCAAAATAAAAAATCATCAAGTCTTGATGAACATCAAAGTATTGGAGTTACAGCTTCAGCATCAGTCCTTCCAGTGAATATTCAGGACTGATTTCCTTTACGATTGACTGGTTTGATCTCCTTGAAGTCCAAAGGACTCTGAAGAGTCTTCTCCAACACCACAGTTCCAAGGCATCAGTTCTTTGGCACTCAGCATTCTTTATAGTCCAACTCTCACATCCATACATGACTACTGGAAAAACCATAGCTTTGAGTTGGCAGACCTTTGTTGGCAAAGTAATGTATCTGCTTTTTATATGCCTTCTATGTTTGTCACAGCTTTAAAAGAGCAAGCATCTTTTAATTTCATAGCTGAAGTCACCATCTGCAGTGATTCTGGAACCCCCAAAAATAGTCTGTTACTGTTTCCATTATTTCCCCCATCTATTTGTCATGAAGTGATGGGACCAGGTGCCATGATCTTAGTTTTCTGAATGTTGAGTTTTAAGCCAGCTTTTTCACTCTCCTCTTTCACTTTCTTCAGGAGGCTCTTTAGTTCCTCTTTGCTTTCTGCCATAAGGGTGAATTTCTGAGGTTATTGATATTTTCCCAGCAATCTTGATTTCAGCTTGTGCTTCATCCAGTCCAGCATTTTGCATGGTGTACTCTGCATATAAGTTAAATAAGCACGGTGACAATATACAGCCTTGATGTATTCCTTTCCCAATTTGGAACCAGTCTGTTGCTCCATGTTCAGTTCTAACTTGCTTCTTGACCTGAATACAGATTTCTCAGGAGGCAGATCAGGTGGTCTGGTATTCCCATCTCATGGAGAATTTTCCACAGTTTGTTGTGGTCCACATGGTCAAAGACTTTGGTATAGTCAGTAAAGCAGAAGTAGATGTTTTTCTGGAACTCTCTTGCTCTTTCTATGATCCAGTGGATGTTGGCAATTTGATCTCTGGTTCCTCTGCCTTTTGTAAATCCAGCTTGAACATCTGGAAGTTCATGGTTCACATACTGTTGAAGCCTGACTTGGAGAATTTTGACCACTTTGCTAGCATGTGAGATGAGTGCAATTGTGCAGTAGTTTGAGCATTCTTTGGCATTGCCTTTCTTTGGGATTGGAATGAAAACTGACCTTTTCCAGTCCTGTGGCCACTGCTGAGTTTTCCAAATTTGCTGGCATATTGAGTGCATCAGTTTCACAGCATCATCTTTTAGGATTTGAAATAACTCAACTGGAATTCCATCACCTCTACTAGCATTGTTCGTAGTGATGCTTCCTAAGGCCCACTTGACTTCTCATTCCAGGATGTCTGTCTCTAGGTGAGTGATCACACTATCATGATTATCTGGGTCATGAAGAAGATCTTTTTTCTATAGTTCTTCTGTGTATTCTTGCCACCTCTTCTTAGCCAAAACAAATTCAATATTGGTTTGTCTAGCATAGGCAGATGTGTTCAGCAGGCAGAGAAATAAGAGTCCATGGAAAGACTTGTACACACAAATGTTTATAGCAGCCTTATCTGTAGTAGTCAAAGACAAGACAACTGAAATGTCCACTGACAGTGAATAGGACTTCTGGAAGAGATCTGGACTAGAATTATGGACTTATGAGTTATCAGGCTAAAAAGTATAGTTAAAAACATGAGAGAAGAGCTCAGTGAAAAATATGAATTGAGTAAGAAAAGAAATTGGCCCAAAATGGAATCCTAGGGAGTAACCTTTTAGGGGTGTACTGGGGGGAAAGCCTACAAAGAAAACAGAAGAAAAAAAAAAAACAGTAAAAAATCTGTAAACAGAGGAGGGAAGAGGACCAGAAGAACCTTTTCCCACAAAAGCTGAATAGTGGAGAATATCAGTTATAAATGTTCATGGTTATTTTTTCTAACTGGACAAAAGTTTATTTATATTGTTGAGTAAGAGTCTGTTTGCATTGCTCTCAGATAAGAATCCTTGCCATTATTTGCTTTCTACAAGCCAATGTATACTTTTTTTTCTTCCAGTTATTTTTTCTTTTTTTAATTGGTAGAAAATTGCTTTACAGTGCATTGTTGGTTTTTGTCATAAAACAACATGAAGCAGTCATAATTATATATATCCCCTCCCTCCTGAACCTTCCTCCTGTCCCTACAGCTCACTTCTCTAGGTCATCACAGAGTGCCAGGCTGGGGTCCTTTTGTTATATAGCAAATTCCCAGTAACTATCTGTTTTACACATGATAGTTGTAAATATGTCAATACTACTTTCTCAGTTTGTCCCACCCTCAACTTGCACCACTGTGTCCACGAGTCATTCACTACTAAGTTCATCAGTACCATTTTTCTTGATTCCATATATATGGATTAATATTACATCTTCTTTTTTAATAATTAAATTTATTTAGTTTTAATTGAAGGATAATTGCTCTACAATATTGTTTTGGTTTCTGCCAAACATCAACATGAATTAGCCATAGGTATACCTATGTCCCCTCTCTCTTGATCCTCCCTCCCTATCCCACCCCTCTAGGTTGTTACAGAGCCCCAGTTTGAGTTCCCTGAGTCACACAGCAAATCCCATTGGCTATCTGTTTTACATGTATATGTAATGTATATGTTTTGTGTTACTCTCTCCATACATCCCATCCTCTCCTTCCTCCCCACCCCACTGTCCTGTGTCTATAAGTCTGTTCTCTTATGTCCATGTCTCCATTGCTACCCTGCAAATAGGTTCAACCGTACCATCTTTCTAGATTCCATATATATGTGTTAATATACGACATTTGTTTTTCTCTTTCTGACCTAGTTCACTTTGTATAATAGGCTCTATATTCATCCACCTCATTAGAACTGACTCAAATGTGTTCCTTTTTATGGCTGAGTAATATTCCATTGTGTATATATACCACAGCTTCCTTACCCATTCATCTGCCAATGGACACCTAGGCTGCTTCCATGTCCTAGCTATTATAAATTATGCTGCAGTGAACATTGGGGTGCATGTGTCTTTTAGAATTGTGGTTTTCTCAGGGACTATGCCCAGGAGTGGGATTGCTAGGTGATACTGTAGATTTATTCCTAGTTTTTTAAGGAATCTCCATACTGTTTTCCATAATGGTTGGGTCAGTTTACATTCCCACCAACAGTGCAGGAGGGTTCCCTTTTCTCCACATCCTCTCCAGCATTTATTGTTTGTAGATTTTTTGGTGATAGCCATTCTGACTGGTGTGAGGTGATACCTCATTGTAGTTTTGATTTGTATTTCTCTAATAATGAGCAACGCTGAGCATCTTTTTATGCAATATCTACTTTTACAGAATTGCAAAATATCCTAATCAGTAGTAAATGGATAATCAAAGGAACATACCCCTAGAAAATCATATACTCTTTGGTGGGGTGAGTAAAAGGACACCTAGTAATCCCTTTTGACTGTTTCTAAGTTTCAGATAATTTTTCATGACGTCAGTAATGCAACATGAAGTTGTTGTGTATGACGGAATACTAAAAGAAAAATTTCCTCCTATTTTAAGTACGTGATAATTGATTTTCTATAACATGTTTGTCTTCATCCATCATTTAACAATGAACCATGTACTTACTGTCCTGTGATTTTTCCTTTTATTATTGCCTTGAAACTTTTGAAACATGTTTACTATTTTGCACATTAATCTTTCTCCAATAATTGATTGCAGGTTTTTTTGACTACTTTGTATTCCCTATTTTACTTAGCAATGGTGCCTTACATACAATAAGAATTCAATTAGTTGATTTAATGTGATGTATTCTTGGAACTAAGCTAGCCACTTAAAATATTGGTTAATTTCCTGGATCAGGCCATAGACATTAAGTTGCTGCACCTTTTTTGTTTAATTTGTTGTGATACTGATGCATCATTTAGTAATGGTACATTTTTTATTCTTTTATTCTATTAGTGGTGATTTACTCAGAATAGAAGGGAAAATCCTGCATTCAATTTTAGATGAAGTTGTTTTCAAACTTTTATCAACTCCTAGTCCAGTCATAAGAGGTACTGCTACAAAGCTACTACTGTTGATGGCTGAATCCCATCAGGAAATTTTGATTTTACTGAGACTAAGTGCCTGCTACAAAGGTAATACATACATTTTTTCTTTTCAAGAACATCTTTATTGATGGTATATGGAAAACAAAATACCTGTGTTGTGAAAAAGTCATTAAAAAAGTGTGCAGATAAAAACTCTGTCACAACAGATAACAATTCAAGGGAAAAACTACATAATCCAGCCATCATCTCAACAGATGGCATATGAAACTTTATCAATGAGGTTACAATGAATAATTTGCTCCCTTACTCACAGACGATTGTGTGTTGAATATGCCATATAGTGTAATAACATAATGACCGAGATCAGTGATCTTCCCTAACTTTATTGAGAAAATAGAGCTTTGCTTGAGAACTTGACAGCCTTTTAATCTTTACATCATTAATAATTACTCTTTACCTCCTATTCTGCCTTTCCTCAAAGACAAAAAAGTTGCCATCACCCCCAAAATCATATGTGAATAAAAATTCAGAAACTTGAGAAGGAAAGGGTTCAGTATATTACCGTTACCTTATGATAGCTTTTCATTAATTGAGCATTTACTATATGTCAGATACTATTCTGCATACCTTATGTATATTAGAATATTTAATCTTCACAACCCTGTGAGATGTTTGCTATCCTCATTATATAGCAGTGGAAACAAAAATGTGGAACATCTAGGTAGTTTATCCAAAATCACTCAGTTTTTTTGTTTTCCAACTGCTAAGCAAAGTTAAATGTGAGCTTTTATTTCTTTGCTAGGCAGAGTCATGAATTTATTACAATATATTTTCTTATTCAGTGTGGTCAATAAATAGGTTTCTAGTTCATTAAGTATCTTACTTATTAATACAGGGTTATATTATATATTAATAATAATAATTTATATTATATATTGGAGATGGAAATGGCAACCCACTCCAGTATTCTTGCCTGGAGAATCCCTTGAACAGATGGGCCTAGCCAAGCTATAGCCCACGAGGTCGCAAAGAGTCAGACACAGCTGAGCAACTAACTATATTGTATATAAAATTTCAAGAATTAGAATACAATGTGATATATTTAATGGACTTCCCAGGTAGTAGTGATAAAGAACCCACCTGCCAATGCAGGAGACACAAGAGACGCAGTTTCAATCCTTGGTTAGGAACATCCCCTGCAGGAGGGCATGGCAATCCACTCAAGTATTGTTCCCTGTAAAATGCTATCGACAGAGTCTAGCAGGCTACAGTTCATAGGGTTGCAAAGAGTCGGTCGGACATAACTGAAGTGACTTAATACACACAGAGGTGAGTGACTTACCTTACCTGAGTAATTACTGTGAACTTTGTGGGAGAAAAGTGCCAGTAATAAAACTCTCTAGATGATACTGTGCTAGATACATATTACTTCTGTAATTTTATTTCTTCCATAGAAATGTGAATGTCCAACAGAGTTCATTATAAAGGAATTCTATCTTAATCTGTCTCCCTTTCTTTTCTCAACAGTAGAACTTATTCAGTTGCCTCAAGATATTTTACAGTTATTAAAACTGCTGAGAACTTGAGTCTTAAAGTAGAAGACATGGAAAGACCCATATATTGCTTTGCTGTGCTTAGATACTCAGTCATGTCCAACTCTTTGCAACCCCCTGGACTATAGCCTTCCAGGCTCCTCTGTCCATGGGTATTCTCCAGGCAAGAATACTGGAGTGAGTTTCCATTTCCTCCTCCAGGGGATCTTCCCAATCTAGGGACCCCAGGTTTCCTGCATTGCAGGCAGATTCTTTAGCATCTGAGCCCCCATGGAAGCCCAGTTGTACACTCCAAGCCCATTCTCTTGCTTATGTATATTGCACACATACATTGTAATAATCATTCCTCCATGCCTTAGAAATAGTACTTACTTTGTAACTTACATTACTACTCAGTTTTAATTTGGGATGGAAGTGCAGTATTTTAATGTTATAGCACTTCTCCTATAATAAATGCTCAGGAGCCTATTAATGAACCCCATGCACATACATTGTTGATATTTTTATTTAATAATAACTTCCTTTAATTAGTAGTAACTAATAGCCTGCTTCAGTACTTCCACAAGATAGGCATTTACTCAGTATATATTCAATATCTTTTAAAAAATGTTCTCATATAAGGTATTTATGTTGGAACAGGAAAAAATATATATATAACTCTACCCTTTGACTTACCATAATGATTCCACTCTCCTCCCTGTTTTTTCTAATTGAAGAAATTGACTAGACAGATTTTGCATCAGATCTCACAAGTGAATACCTCAGAACTCTTAGGACCTCTATCTAGAAGTTTTTGAGAAAAGGAAGAAGAAAAATCATGTGATTAATCTTGTTATTTTCATTTGTTTCTAAACTAAACATTTTAACCTCAAATTAAATCTGATTAGATAACAAAATCATATTATTAATAGCTATGCCTTTGTTATTCCATTTCAGGACTTAGAAGTCTACTAAATAAACAAGAACCTGGGACAGAGTTTAGTCAAGAACTTAGACAGCTCATTGGTCTTTTAAGCCCTAAGGCCTATCAGGAAGTAAAAGACCAGGTATTGAATTATAAAAATAATTTGCATGATATTTACTAAAATTTCAGTGAACAATTTAGTTTGAAAATACTGACTAGTAGTAGTCTCCTGAATCTTTTGCTTTCTCTCCCCCTTCCTTTACTTATTTGCCCCTAAAATCCAGAGCAGCTATAGTTTGATGAGAGAAGTTGTTTTATGGTCTAAATTTTTAACCCTAGAGCCTTTTTTTTTTAATCTATACAGAGTCCTTCATATTCTTGTATCTTTGAATAAGTGAAGCTAAGCATCAGAAGTGAAGCAAAGATGTTAAAGCATTAAATAAGCAAAATTGTGAAATCCTTATAATGAGAATGGAAGTGATATTAATCAGAGAGAATTTGAAGCTGACCAGACTGCATCTTGAATACATTTTAGATATTGCCTAACTGACCCTCCTTTGGGAGATGAGGTTTAATATTCTTAGGCTGTCCCTGTCCTGGGTTTATATAAATGTTGCCTTCTGCTCAACTTATTAAAGATGGAGATTAATACTTGCCCAGGCTGATATTTTAAGAAGTAAACTTCTAAAAACAACTTGCCTAGGGATGTCTTTAAATTAATTCTGGCCTTTAATTTCAGAAACGACATAAAGCAGCTTGCTTGATTCAAGCTTATTGGAAGGGTTTCCAGACTAGAAAGAGATTGAAGAAGCTTCCATCTGCTGTGATTACTTTGCAGAGGAGTTTCAGGTAAAAAATTTGGGTGAGAGGATTGATGATCTGAGAGGGCTAGATATATCTTATTAGAGTATAGCTGAGTGAAAACTTAGAGGTTTTTTTTTCTTTTTCAATATTCTAGTGTATTTCTTTCATTCTTGCTTCATACATTTTTGAGTGCCAGCACTTTGTAAACCTTAATATACTTTCAAAAGCAGAGGACATGACATAAAACAGGAATCTAACGTAACAAGTACATAATCCTATTCACTTAAGACTTTTGTGAGCCAGGTCTCCAGAGGGAGCCAATAATGGTCAGTATCTCATTAAACTCTTAAAACCAAAAGTTGCCATAATTGTTCAAATGTAATTATGGTAAAAATATGTATGAATATAAAAAAGCTGAAGTATGTTAACCTGATTTTCCTCAGTAACTATGTCATGGATAGATTTGGCCATTGACATATAACATAGTTTGTCATTTATCTCTATTTCAAGTAGACTAAAAATGAAGTAATGAAGATGTGGCCCAGTTTTTACATGACTACATCTAGATTCTTAGAGGCAATAAAAATAACATACACACACGCGCCACACACATATGATTTAGCTCCTAGGTCATTGTTGATAAATTAGAGCCATCTCAGAGATGATTTCATGTAACCTAACTTAAAGCTAAATTTTAGTTCATTGAAGTGTCACATGCATATTCCAGAAGTCAATTTTTTTTTAAGAAAACTGAAACTATTTTAATAACTGCAGCTGCGTTTCTCAGTTACAAACATGTTTTAAAATAGTGAACTAAAATAGGCTGCATGAAAAATCACTGGTGAGATGGCCCTGCTTTATCATTAATGATGTTAGGAGCTAAGTCGCTTGTATCTGTGTGTTTTCTTTCAGTTGCCTCTAAGAACCTGCGTGGATTAGTGCTAGATATTGAAGCCACTTTGGCTGTGTCCCTTAATGGACATTCTTTTCATTGGTAGTTTCCTTCAGAGAAGACTTAAAACGTTACTAATATCATTGGGCATGAGTTTCCTTGGTAGCAAAAAAGCTACCAATGAAATTTTTAAACATGTAATTTTTTAAACATGTTTCAAGTGCCTAATATATTCCAGAGCCTATGGTAGGTATTGGGACAGTTAAACAAACTTGAGTTTGTATTCCTCCTCAGCAACTTATGGACTGAATGATCTTGGATAAGTTTCCCTACCTCCCTTAGTCTCAAATTTCCCATCTATAAGGTGGGATAATTGTCTGTGTAACTCACAAGATTAAAATAATAGAAATTTTTTTAGCATGTTACTGGGCACTGAGAATGTGGTAGGGAGGGAAATGTACATTTTTTGCTGTTGAAGATTTACATATCTAATTAGGCAGACAGATCTATTAAATAAATAGTATGCATGAGACGCAAGTATAATCCATTCAGGCATTGCTCAAGGTTTATTGTCTATCTTACCTGCTATTTCTTTAAAAATATTAATTATTTCTTTGGTGAAATAAATTTGGGAAATGATGGATATTTTGAGAGTCACAATATATTGTTTACAAGAGTCTGAGATGTTCTTGGTATAGCTTTACCTTTGTAGTGAATTCAGGTAGAATAGTTACCACTCATGGATTCTACCTACTGTCATTTTCAGCTGTACATCCTCTTACAGTTAAAGGTGCCCTTGTGCCATGGATTCAGACCTTTAATGTTTAGTCTTACAGTAGTTGCCAAATTTGCCAGTCTATTTTCCTTTGCAATATTAAAAAATCTCTATTTAAAAGTATCCTAGAATTGCAGATTTTGTCCACTTAGAAGTGTATCTATGGAATCTAATTAATAGTCTATAAATATATCCCTTAAAAGGCATTTTCCATGAGGCCAAAATTGCTTATATCTCACATTATAATGAGTTTTTAATTTTTTAATCTCCAGTTTGCTTCAGGCTTGAGCACCTTTCCTCTTCTATTAGTTGCAACATATTATGCAAATTTCTTTTACTTCCTTTGTAGCTGGGCTTTCTGCAAAGGTTATTTCTGTCTCTTTGTGGTCAGGTCATTATCTCAGAGTAATTTCCCTCTCCCATGTTTTTTTTGGGGGAGGGACTGCCCACCACTCATAATCATGGACCTAGATTCATCAGAGCTTCGGATTAAACGAGGTATTCTATTATAGTCACACTCTTTTTAAAGCACTTTCTTGGGGCTTTCTTTTTTATTTAATCATTTTTCATGGTCAGAAACTTTATTTTCTGTTAAAATTTCGTTTTCTGCCCTTTTCCTCAGCAAGGTTTTCTGAAGCAGCTAACAGCCGTCTCAGTTACCCTCAGGATAGCTCACAATTTGCCTACCTCTGATGTGGTGCTGGTATTTAAGTTATCTTATTTGTTTGACATGTGTGAAACACTCTGGGAAGACTTCTTTTTATGCTTCATCATTCTCTTTTGCCTCCAGCTCAAAACAGTCTTTATGCCAAAGTGGCATATTCCACTACCTTTCAACTTCCCCTTGAAACTGATCTCAAAGGCATAACTGTATCTCTTCTTTGTTTGCCTTAGGGACAGTGATTGTAGGCAGCAATCACTCAGATAAATGTTGGTTGAGTTAAATGAACAAAACCCATTAAGTACTTCTTTGAAATTTTTATTTTTTCATAGTTTATGGAATTCCATCCAGTGAATGAACCAGAATTTATTTATATAACTCACTGTTGTAGGATATGGGCTTCCCTCATGGCTCAATGGTAAAGAATCCACCTGCCAGTGCAGGAGATGCAGGGTTCAATCCCTGGGTCAGGAAGATCCCCTGGAGTAGGAAATGGCAACCCACCCCAGTGTTCTTGTCTGGGAAATCCCAGGGACAAAGGAGCCTGGTGGGCTATGACTTATCAACTAAACAGCAACAACATTGCAAGACATATGGTTTGTTTTCAACTTGTTACTATTGTAATGATGTGGAGAAAATCCTTGAACATAAATGTTGACATATGTATCACATTTTTCCTTAAGGAGTATTAGAAATGGAATTAATTGGTTATGATTTTTAAGGTGTTTGATACATATTTTAAATATTTCTCCAGAAAAAAATTTGATGCATATATCCAAATATTTCTTCAGAAATGTTGTATACGCAGCACATGAAAACTTATTTCATCATATTCTAACTATACTAGATTATCTTTAAAATCTTTTTTGCTCTCTGTACTTATATGATTACCAGCAAGGTTAAGCCTTTTTTCATATACTTCTTGAGTAGATATATGATTATGAAAATTATGTGTACTTAATGTTTCCATCATAGATCTAAACGAACAAAGATGTTAATGAAGCTAAGTAGACAGAAGGAAGAAGAGGACCACAGATTACAGCTGCAAATTCAAAGGCAGAGAGCCATGAGACTTTCCCGAGAAATACGGCTGAGTATGCTTGAAATAGTTCATCCAGGTGTGTGGCATTATCAGTTTCTAAGCATAAGACTGATAGGGTAGCTTTTGATAAACCAAATTTCCTAGGTACCTGATGAGTTAATTTTAAAATGTGGACCTTTAGCCCTGTTTCAACTTTTTCAGGTAAATCTTACTAAATCTCTTCAGTCAAAAAAAAAAATTCTTATTTTTTTCTGATTAGACTTACTAGTTGATGATGAGCAATCTCTCCATTAATTTTTCTTAATTTTCAGATAAATCAGTGAAACATAAAATTTAATGCTTAAAGATAGATGTCTTTGACATAAAGAAAGAACCCCTTGAACTTAGTAAGATGTTAGAATATTGCTATGTTGCTACATTGTGCCCTCAGAACTTAACTCATGCCTCAGTACAAACCTGGTGACACCTTCTTGCCATCTTTGACACACAAAACTGAAATTAATGTTAAAGTGTAGCCTGGGAAATCAGAGTCTTTTCAACATTCCTTTTTTATTCTTCTCCACCTTCCTACTACTTATTTCCAGTATCCCTCAATAGCCTCTTACTTTTCTTCCTTTCCCTTAAATATAGATCCATCCCAGGGTTCCTTCCTTACCCCATTTTTCTCATATTGCTCTTCCTGGGGTATCCCATCCATAACTGTAGCTTCAATTACCAAATGAGTGCTTAGCACTCTTAAGTCTTGTCTGCATCCTCACCCTTTTTCCTAAGATCTAGACCAGCCCTACCCAACCGAACTTTCTACAAAATAAAATGTTCTTTGTCTGCACTGTTCAGTACAGTGCCAATGGTTAGAGATAGCTGTTGACTTGAAATGTGGCTAGTGCACTTGAGGGCCTTAAATTTTATTGTCTTTAAGTAGCCATTTGTGACTAGTGCTTACTACATTGGACAACACAGCTCTGTAGCCAGGTGTTTATTGATTAGCTTTACTTAGATAGCCACAAGCATCCCCAAAGCTAGTCATTATCTGTCCCCACAGATTTCTACTTCTTGTATTCCTAATCTCTCAGGTAACTGCACCAGCAGTCTACTCAATGTCCCATCTATGAGACATCCTGGAATTTTTTCCCCTCCCTCCACATGTAGTTCACCACTAAATCCTATGAATTTTGGCACTGTCTCTCAAATATATCCCTTTTAGTTTTTAAAATTAAAAATTTTTTATATTTTAAATTTCTAAATTTAAAAAGAAAATTATCTGTAGAACCAAGTGAGTGACTCAAGAGAAATTTAGAACCATACAGAGTAGGTAATGTATATGCACAATGTGCCCTTTCCTTTTGGTGGTACTGAATGACTTTCTAACTATTTACTTATGATTCTTTTTTTCTAACTATTCTTGCTTTTGGATTTTTAGTCCTTTCTCATTTATAGGACTCAAAATAATTATGTGAGTCTTTTTCTTAAAGAAGATGCATAAACTGAGAAGACTTGGAGCTCTTTGTTTCTAAAATCTTATAACCATTGTTAAATAGTAGAATTGGGAAAATCATATTGAAAATAATTAAAGGACTACAAGATTGTTACTTTGATTGTCCTGATTCTAGAATTTGAGAAAGCATAGAAGTGAGTATGTTGTAACAGTGTCTGTCATCTTTTTAGGTCAGGTGGAAAAACATAACCGGGAAATAGAAGAGAAATCAGCACTGATTATCCAGAAACATTGGAAAGGGTACAGGGAAAGGAAAAATTTTCGTCAACAGAGGCCATCTCTTACGGAATATAAAGCGGCTGTCATACTTCAGAGAGCAGTAAGTCTGATGTAGTAAAAAGAATACTGGATTAGTAGGCAGAGACATGGGTTCAAACTTGACTTTTGCTATTTACCTGCTGTAAAGCCTTGGTTAAGTCACTTAGCTTTTTCTAAGCCTTAGTTTCTTCCTCTGTCAGAACCTCCTTAGGGCCAAAATGATTTAGATATTCAGTCTTTATTACTTTGATAAAACCTTGTGTGTCATTTACCAAAATGCAGTGTTGTTAATTTTTTTTGTTTTTACTTGAACTATGAGCATCTCAAGGATAAGTCACTAAGTCTTATTTATTGTCAACTTCTCACATGTGCTTGATACATGAATGAATATCTACCCTGTCTTTTTCACTCAGTTGTTATGTGGATCAGATGACCTAATTTTTGGGAAAGTATTTTTTCAATTGTAAAGTCCTGTTTAAGTGCAGCATATCATACTGGATGTTTTAAATGCATAGATAATATATTAGGTATAATTAGATCATTATAATTCTTGAATTATAGAATGGTGTTCTTCAGTGATTTTCCTGGGGTTTATCTGGCGCATAGTAATATTTTATACCACAAGACTGTCTATTTCACTTAATATCTAGTTTTCCTAATATATAGTTGTTTACTTACATATGGTTAACGTTCATATTAGGATTTTAGTCTTATAGCATTTAGATTTATAATCCCTTATTGTAAAATTTTAGGTCAGTTTCAGTTTTTCACAGTCATAGATTTTGAACAGTCTATCTGTTGATTTCCCTGATTAAGCTTTTACAAAGTTTTTTTCAAACCATTCAAAAAACAGAGTAGTACTCTACTCTGGGAGGGATAGTCTGCTGCCTACATCTTTCTCATTCAGGCCAAGTCTTCAATAGATGGTCCTGTTCTGTTACTGAATCACATCCATGCATGTTGTTTACCTTCTGCTAAGCAAGGCCATCTAAGGATTAACCCATACATACCAGTGTTAGCCCTGGAGGAGGGCCTGGCAACCCATTCCAGTATTCTTGCTTGGAGAATCACCATGGACAGAGGAACCTGGCAGGCTACAGTCCATGGGGTCACCAAGAGCTGGAAATGACTGAGCGACTAAACATAGCACAGCACTAGTGTTAGAGACTGATGGTGAAAGGAGGAACCTGTGGGTTCTTTCTAATACCTTCACCTCATGACTACCTCCTTTTTTTTTTTTTTCCTGTGCTGCTTGTCATATGGGATCTTAGTTCCCTGACCAGGGATCAAACCCATGCCCACTGCAGTGGTGCAGTAGAAGTGCAGAGTCTTAACCACTGGACTATCAGGGAAGTCCCAAATTTTTTATTTTGATTACATGTTGAAATGCTAATATTTTACATATATTGAGTTATGCTTATGTAACTCAATACATGTAAAATACTAATTTCACCTCTTTTTACCTTTTACTCTGTGTAAACCGGCTAATTTCAAATTACACATCCTTATTCATGTAGACAACTTAGGGTTTTCTGTAGTAGTATAGTATTGGAATTAAATTTGAAGAATTAGGTGCCTTTACCCTTTTAATGCTCCAGGATTTTCTTTTCTTGCTTCCACATCTCTTAAGAAGTTCAAAGGGGCCCCCCAAGAGCATGGGAGTACCGGGCATTAATAGGGCCAAGCAAGGTCAGTGCTAGTGATCTGTTAGCAGAGCCCTGCCCTCCTTGGCCGGCTTTAGACTCCCAGGGAAGTCTCTGAGAGAGATGGCCAGAGATGCTTAACTGGTTCTCTGCAATTTGGTGCAGATGGCAGACAGCTCTTCTTTTGCAGAGTACTGCGGTCTGCTAAGCCTCCAAACGCTCTCTTTTTATCCTTCAACATGGTGTCCTCCAAAGTTACCCTGTTAGTGCTCAGCCAGGAGCAGTTAGAAGGGGTTGAAGCATGGGTCTGCAGAAGCACTGGCAGACCTGAGTTTTAAAATCTGGCTCCGTTTTTACTGTTTGATGAATTTAAAGGTAGTAGACCAGGCAGATTTCCCGATCACGCACACTGAGGTTTTGAAACAATATCTTACCTCCTGGAAGGGGGATGTAGCATAGCTCAGGAAGACTGCCATGGACATGTTGGTCAGTTGAACTCAGGAGGCCTGTACTAGATGATCTCAGGCTGGGGCATTGTGCATGAGGAGATGCCTTGCTCAGAGGAGCCAGTCCATGACCTTCAACTGTGGGTTAATTTGAGGAGCCCACAGAAGATAGTGAAGCCTTGGTACCAGGAACTGAAAAGCAGTGAAATCCCTAAACCCAGTAAGAATAGTGTGACCATTGCTGTCATTTCTGGAGAAGCCCTGGGAGTCAAGACCAAGATTTACATCTACACACCAACCTTACATTTGGACTTCAAATTGGACAAAGGAGCAAAGCATTTCCAGCCTATTCCTAAAGGGTGGACAAGCTCCCTTTGTACCATATCTGGAAATGTGTATACTGTACCTGATAATATGCAACAAAAAACAGAACCTCATCCCACAGCTGTGTTAGGGGAAGGTGACAGTGTCCAGGTGGAGAATAAAGATCCTGAGAGAAGCCACTCCATCCTAATTCTTGAGGAGCCATTAAGAGAACTAGTTATTCAGCATGGAAGAGTGTACTTACCCTTAGAGAATCCAAAATGTGATGCTTTCTTGACTTGAAATTTTTGTAATCTTCTGTTTATTGTCAGTGAGGTGCTACTAATTTTCAAACATAACTTAGACCCTCATGAAAGGACACAGCCTCATATACTGCAGAGATACCAAAACTATGACGAGATTTTTTTTATCAAGTCAGTTCAGTTCTTGACATTAGCCAATGCTATTTAACTGACAACTACAGTAAATCTTTAAAGTTCTTTGACAAGAATTCTGTAACTGTGTATGGTGACAGATGTTAACTATACCCACTGTGACAGCCATTTCCGAATATATACAAATATCAACATTATGTTGGACACCTGAAATTAATATAATATTGTATGTCAGTAATATTGTACCTCAATTTTAAAAAATAAAGAAGATAAAAAGAACTAAAACTTCAAAAAATGGTTGTAAAAGAGCCAAACCTAAGAATATTTTAAATAAAAGAGATTGTCATTCCTGATGACAGCTTGCAGTGGGTGAGGAAGATATAATTGGATTTGTTTATCTGAAATCTGGTCTTTATAAATCATTTACAATCCTAGTTTAAAAACTTGTTTTATACTCCTTGGGAATCGGATGCTAGGAAAATAACTGTTTGCTGTTTACATATGCCTGAGTTTGTTTCAAACTAAGAACTACAGAAAGTTAAAGTGAAGTTGTGTCTGAATCTTTGTGACCCCGTGGACTGTAGCCTAACAGGCTCCTCCGTCCATGGGATTCTCCAGGCAAGAATACTGGATTGGGTTGCCATTTCCTTCTCCAGGGGATCTTCCTGACTCAGTGATCGAACCCAGGTCTCCCGCATTGCAGGCAGACACTTTAACCTCTGAGCCACCAGGGAAGCCTAAGAACTACAGAATACATACCATTTTAGTGATAGAAGAAAATATTCTCATCACCTAGAACTTTCTGAATGTCTCCTCCTACTCTAGGTTCATTTTTGATGAACACAAATGAAGAGATGTCTCAGGCCATTCTTGGTTTCAGAAACGTGGAAAATGACTTTGAAAGAGCCAAAACCTGAAAATCAAATATTGGAAACGAGTGACAAGCACAAGGGCAGGACTGACTGCCTTCTAGAATTTTCCATTTGTGGGATCCACCTATTCATATTCAGTGCATCCAATTTCTAAAGCTGACTTTGCCAGTGCTTCTAAAGAATTCCACACTAAAGTGTTAAACATGGTTTTTATAGCAATGAATGTGAGATATTTCCTGGCACCAGCAAATAAACCTAATTATTGGTTCTTTTACAAAAAAGAAAAAGAAGAAGCTCAGAAAGGTGATGTTTGCTTGTATCTCCTCTCTAGAGCCAGAATGATAGCTAATTCTTGCTGATTATAGAAGAAAAGTACCATGTATACATATCCATTGAAGACCAACTGCAAAAGCACTTACTGAAAACAAACCATTGGCAGTTGAAAAAAATTAACATTTGGAGATAGATATAATCTCAGAGATTCCTAATATAACAAAGAATGAAGAAGAGACAGAGAAAGAGATGTCAAGGTGAACTTTGTCTGATCTAAGGGCAAAAATTCCCCTGTTCTGGAAACTTTACTTTTGAGTTCCCAGCATAGCATCATAAACCTGACTTGGTACTAAAAGCAGGAGGCAGAGGAAGGATAGGAAATATAAGGAAGAAAAATCAAGAAAAGGGAAGAACAGAAGAAAAGGAGAAAAATGTCTTAATAGGAGAATGAAAACACAGTTGCAGGCTTGAGTACTATAGTGAAAACAGATATTAAGGAAAGTTTATATACTGATGTGAAAACCTCCAGCCCCTTTTTACTTCTCAGCTCTCAGTTCTGTCACCCAGGCTTAAACCCTGTTGAAAGCATTTTCTTGAGGAAATCTGAACAGTCCAAGAGAATAGTTAAACTCACATTGAGGTGCTCCAATGAAACAGCCCAGTTCAGTAGCCCTAAAAAGAAGTACATAGTAGATTAACCCTACCCTCCTGCTCATTTCCTCCTCCTTAGCATTTCTAAACAGCCGAAAGTATCACTGGACATCTGAGGAACGCTAACACCAAACAAACAGAATAAAACTACTTGATGGAAACAGCTATTGCAGGGATAAGAAAACATTTTAAATGTATTATTTTCTCAGAGAGCTAAAAGAAAATTATATATGAAACAAAATCAAGATGCTGTATGACAGGGAACAAATACAATAAAATTTGCCAGAAAAAATAATACAAGATATAATAAAAGGGATAGGAAAAAAGGTTTGAGAAATCTAGAGAGCAGGGCAAAAAGAAAAGAGAACCAGTCTAAGAGATCAAATATCCAAACATGTGAAACAGAGAAAAGAAAAAAAAAGCTGGAGGAGAGAAAACAGTTTGATTTCCCAGAACCAAATACCATGTGGTTTAATTCAAAAGGACTGAACAACTGTCCAATACAAAGAAATATACTCACATTTATTTCACATTGGTGAAATACACTGGGAACAGAAGTACTCTTCAACAACATAATTGGAAGCTAAAAGGTATTGGAGTTAGGCTGACACATGTTTGAGGGAAAATGACGTCCAATTAGAATTCTGCATCCAACCAAACCATCAGTTAAAAATAAAGATAGACTATAAAGATATATTTATGCATCACAAATCTCTGAAACAAAGGAATAACTCAAGAAAGGAATCCAGAAAACACAGAGGAAAAATGAAGAGTCACCAAGATGATGGTGAATGGGGATATCAGGATGACAGCTATGCACCAAGCATAGAGAACAATTGATTCAGATTGGAGCAGGTCAAAAAGCTCCAGAATATATATCCAAGAAAATTAATTTGGTAGATTGCCTGATATGTTTTACTGTGTGAACAATTAGGGCAGAAGTTGTTATGTATAATCAGTGATAAATACATAGAAAAATAATCAAGGAAAATACTAGAATTATTAATTCCTTGCTTATTTTTCTAATGTATTAAAATATGTTTTCAAGATTTTGGATCATTTTTATTATCATTATTCTAAATTCTTTTTCAGGTAGATTCCCTATTTCCTCCTCTTTTGTTTGACTTGGTGGGCTTTTTTCATGTTCCTTTAGCTGTTGGGTATTTCTCTGCCTTTTCATCTTGTTTAGATTGCTGTGTCTGGAGTGGGCTTTCTGTATTCTTGTGGTCTGAGGTTCCTTTTTATTGTGGAGGTTTCACCCAGTGGGTGGGGTTGGACAATTGGTTTGTCAAGGTTTCCTGGTTAGGGAAGCTTGTGTCAGCGTTCTGGTGTGTGGAATTGGATTTCTTCTCTCTGGAGTGCAATGGAGTGTCCAGTAATGAGTTTTGCGATGGATCTATGTGTTAGGTGTGACTTTGGAGAGCCTGTATGTTGACACTCAGGTCTATGTTTCTGCGTTGCTAAAGAATTTGCGTGGTATGTCTTGTACTGGAGCTTATTGGCTCTTGGGTGGTGGTTGGTTTTGGTGTAGGTATGGAAGCTTTTGGATGGTCTCTTATTCCTTAATGTTCCGTGTAGTCAGGAGTTTTCTGGTTTTCTCAAGATTTGGGCTTAAGTCTCCTGCCTCTGGATTTCAGTTTTATTCTTCCAATAGTCTCAAGACTTCTCCAACTATACAGCACTGATAATAAAACTTCTAGGTTAATGGTGAAAAGATTCTCCACCGTGAGAGACAACCAGAGAGGTTCACAGAGTTACATGAAGAATAGGAGAGGGAGGAAGGAGATAGAGGTGATCAGGAGGAGAAAAGGGGGACTCAAGAGGAGAGAGACAGATCTACGCAGTTATCTGTTCCCAAAGTGTTCTCCGTAGCCCAGACACCCACAAAGATTCACAGAGTTGGATTGGGAAGAGAAGGGGAAAGGGGGAAATAGAGGTGTTCCGAGGTAGAAAACAGAGAGTCAAAAGTGGGAGAGTAATCACCACACTCCTGAATAGAAATGGGAACTGAATATTGGATTCTTAAATGACCAAAATTTATATCACATACTACTGAAAAACAAAGATTAAAAATCTAGTGTAGAGGTTAGACTCTTTGAAATACAATATTTAAAAACAAAAACACAAAAAAAAATTTAGAAATGTATATGAAGTTTGATTTAAAAATAGGGTTTCTCTCTCTCTTTTTTTTTTTGGCAAGGTTATAGTGAAATGAAAATGAAAATTAAGGAATAATAGAGGAGTATTAGAGGACTTTAAAAGGAAATAGGAGAGAAAAACAAGAAAAAGAAAAAAAAAGAAAAAAAAATTTTTTTTCCCTAATTAAAAAAATCGTAAAAATATATGAAAATGAAAGTTGAGGAGTAATGGGGGAGTAATAGGGAATTTTAAAAGAAAATAAAAGAGAAAAAATTAAAAAAAATAAAAAGGATAGAAAAAAAAATTTTTTTTTTAAATTAAAAAAAAATATATATATATATCTAGGAATTTCTCTGGAGCTGTTGCAGTCAGTGTAGGTTCAGTTCAATTTCAGATAGCTCCTCTTTCCAGCTTACACTTCTCGATATCTGTAGGCCCCTTCCGGTGTAGTCGGTGTTACCTTCAGGGATTTTAATCTGTTGCCCCGGTCCTTTCTGAAGCGGTTCCCTTTGTTTATTTGGCTTCTGTTTGCCGTCTCTTTGGTGTCTAATTTCCGCCCTGACACAGGCGGGTGGAGGTGATCTCTTATTTAGGTTCTCTAGTTCAGTTCAGTCCTGCTACGGGGAGGGCGGGGCGCTGCAGACAGATACCGCTCTGTGTGGACAGCACTCACCGTGTTCCAGTCACACTGGGTTTGCCCCACTCACGGGTGTCAGTGCTTTCGCCGTCTACACTGCTCAGGCTCCCGGCTGCTCTATATGGAGCGGGCCCTGCGTTGAGTGCGGTTCCAGTTTTCGGGTACTCCACAAAAGCGCAGATTCGGTTGCGCCTGCGTTTTGTGCCTTCCCCGGCCTGAGCGGCCCAGGCAGCCAGAGGCTTGGGCGCAATCTCCCCGGGTACGGCGCGCCTTTTCCCTCCGCTGCGAGCGGCTCAGGCAGCCAGAGGCTTGGGCGCAATCTCCCCGGGTACGGCGCGCTTTTTCCCTCCGCGGCCCCAGCGCGCACCGCCAGTCGGGTCTCAGGAAGTCTTTAGATAGGAACCGGGGGCCTGTTTGCAGTGTGGGAGGGGGTGGCTTCTCAGGGGCTGAGTTTTCCCTTTTCCCCTCCCCCCCTGCCTCCAACCTCCAGCGGGGATGGGCCGGCTCTTCTCTGGAGTTTCTCAGTCCCTTTGTTTTGCGAACCGCCGGCAGTGTGTTCGGGCCTGTTAATTTTGACCCTTGCTATCCCACAGTTTAAAAAAGCTCCCTCCGATTGCTCTCAGGGTCTTCGGGCCGGTCCTTACCCTAAGCAATGCCGCCCGCTCCTCTCCGTCCCGCCCCCGCTTGTTGCTGGCGGGTACGGGCGTCTGGGGTACTTTTCTGCTGGGAGTTGCTTTGAGGCACGTAATCTGTGGGCCTTGTTTAATTTTTCCTCCCAGTTAGATTGCTGAAAACTTCCCCCAGTCCCGCCAGTGCGAGGGTTTCCTGGTGATTGGAAACTTCCTCTATTAAGACTCCCTTCCCGGGACGGGTCTCCGTCCGTAGCTCTTTTGACTCCCTTTTTATCTTTTATATTTTGTCCTACCTCCCTTCGAAGACAATGGGCTGCTTTTCTGGGCGCCTGATGTCCTCTGCTAGCGATCAGAAGTTGTTTTGTGAAGTTTGCTCAGCGTTCAAGTGTTCTTTCGATGAATTTGTAGGAGAGAAAGTGGTCTCCCCGTCCTATTCCTCCGCCATCTTGGCTCCTCCCTAATGTATTAAAATATGGAAGGAAGAAAAAAGTAATCATCATATACTATATGGTCATAAAATGAATAGCCTTTATGTAGGCATAATGTAAACACTGAACATTAGCATAACTAAAATTATGATTTAATAATATTGAATATTTAGAGATAATAGAAAGTATGTGTGAAAGAGAGCTAAGTCCTTACCTTTCAGATAAGAAAGTCAATAGATAATACCTATTACTGAAAAAAGTCACAAAAATGTAGATGGAAATAAACATCAGAAGAAAAACCTGAAAGAACTAAAGTTGATGTCTTTGAGAGGAGAGGACAGGCTAACTCGGCAGAGAGCTGTAAATTTTTAACAGTTCTTCTAAAACTGATAATTTAAACAATAGAGTTACATCAACAAATTTTTGGAAAGCATCAAATTGTAAAATATATTAGGTTGCAGGTCATGCAGTTTTCTTGTAACTCTTCAGCTCTATAGTTGTAGCACAAAAGAAATTGTGGACAGTATGGAAACAAATGAGCATGATTGTGTTTCAATAAACATTTGTAGATGCTGAATTTTGAATTTCCCTTAATTTTCACATGTCATAATTCTTTTCCTTTTGAACTTTATAATCACATAAAATGTAAAAGGGCTTCCCTGGTGACTCAGACAGTAAAGAATCTGCTTGCAGTACAGGTGAGCTTGGTTCAGTCCCTAGGTCAGAAAGATCTCCTGGAGAAGGTAATAGGTACCCATTCCAGCATTCTTGCCTGGAGAATTCCATGGACAGAGGAGCCTGGCAGGCTACAGTCTATGGGATCTGAAAGAATCGGACACGACTGAGCAACTAACACTTGCACTTCACTTTCAAAATATAAAAAACTCATTCTTCTCCAGCTACTCAAAAACAGGTAGCAGCTGAATTTTATGTGGGCCATAATTTTCCAACTTTTGCCTTTAATAAAGTGAACATAGAGCAAAGGAGAAGAGTGAAAAAGATTGGGCAAAATAATTTCTTATCTCCAAATCTTGCCTGTTACAAGATTTCTTATCAGGAATTCATTCTGAAGAACAAAAGGAAGCACATTTGTTTACCAAACTTTTTCTAATTTACTGTCTCCTTGATCTTTACTATCTTTTGGCTAAGTAGAATAGGGGATCCCTATTTTCTGTAGACGTAGAACCTGTCTTACGGAGATTGAGTGACTTGCCCAAAATCAAACAGTTTTATAAGGGACTAGAACTTAGACTAGAACCCAGAACTGGTTCCCTGTTTATTTCTCTTTATTGCCTTCTGTAAAAATAATACATGAGTATATCCTTGTAAAATATTAAAACATTACAAAAGATTATAAAGATTGTTATCATCCTCTGTCCCATCTGTCATCTCTCCCTCTATATACCCTATGAGTTAACAACTATTACAGTGTTGTCCCTACTATATATTGTTGTAGGAAGAAAATAGTTCTATCAGGGAAGAAAAATCACAAATCTTTTTTTTTTCCCCAGACTCTTAAATTCCTAGCAAAATGCCGTAAGAAAAAGAAACTATTTGCGCCTTGGCCTGGACTCAGAGAACTCACTGATGCACGCAGAATTGAACTGAAACAACAAGTGGATGACTATATCAGAAGACATCCAGTGTGTAGGCTTTTGTGTGTGATTATTGATTATTGCAGTGTGTGATACTCACCAACAAATAAGTCTCAGTTGTATATGTACATTTATTGTTGGCATAAGGTAATGCAATGGCTTTATTGTAGCCTTACCATGGCATTACCATGGCTTTACTATGGCTTTGGAGTCTTATAATTTCGTGGACCATAAAGGTAAAGTCAGTAGTAAAGGACACTTCACTTCAACTTAGTGGTTTTCCATACTTTATCAGCAAGACTGTTGATACATCCTTATCAACATTTATTATTTTCACATCCTAATGAACATGAAGTGGTATTGTGATTTGGGTTACATTCTCTAATAATTAGTGATTTTTAACATCTCTTTATGTGTTTATTGCCTATTTATATCCTTTTTTGGAGAAATTTCAATTGAAGTCCTTTACCCATTTTTAATCAGGTTTTTTTTTTTTTTTTTTAGTGTTGAGTTTTAGGAGTTCTCTGTATATTCTGGATATTAATTCCTTATCAAATGTGTGATTTGTAAATATTTTCTTCCATTCTGTGGGCTGCCTTTTAACTCTATTGTTAGTGTCCTTTGATGCACAAAACTTTTTCATTTTGATGAAGTAGAATTTGTCTAATTTTTTTTTGTTGTTTGTACCTTCACAGTGTCATATTAAAGAAATCATTGCCAAATCTAATATCATAAAGCTTTTTCTCTATCTTTTCTTCTAAGAGTTTTGTAATTTTAGCCCTTATGGTTTAGGGCTTTGATCTCTACTTTTTATTAATGCACTGTGCGTGATTCTGATGCATTCTCCTATTTAAAAAAGAAGTGCCTCTTTAGCCATGCTCTAGTACAGCTGTTACTCTGTGGCTGACAAGTAAGATGTTAGTTAGAACAAGGCAGCATCCATGATCCAGGAACTGGAATACCTGAGAAAACTGTAGTGTTAGAAACTTTATCAGTTTCAGTGTTGAAGTTATGTCATCCTTGTTCTAAATATTAATAATTAGGTTAGTTCCCTTTAAAGTAGCTAACTAGCCAGAAGAATATGATCCTTTGAATGATTCTGTCCCTTGTTCTGTGAAATTAGAGGCTGTATAACATTATGGCTTAGATAAGTTTGAGAGAAGGAATAGGATAAGAAGTAAGGCAGTTTCTCAGGTGGGGTTCAGAACAAAGGGATTGGTCCTATTACTCCTCCAGGCCAGTGTCTTTACCAAACTATTTGTAATTTTCACTATGATTCCTCAATCTTACCTCTTCTCCCAGAATACTACACTATGTGAGGAAGTGAGGTATAGGAGTAGATCAAAAAGAATCTTGCCCACCTGCATTTTCAATGAAATCTACTTTAAAGAAGTTATTTAATGTTTGTTCATGAGTACAAGATCAGGCTTCCCTGATGGTTCAGTGGTAAAGAATCTGCCTGCCAGTGCAGGAGACATGGGTTCAGTCTCTAGTCCAGGAAGATCCCACATGCTATGGGGCAACTAAGCCCATCCGCCACAACTACTGAGTCTGTGCTCTAGAGCCCGGGAGCCACAACTACTGAACTCACATGCAGCAACTACTGAAAGTGAAACACACTTTGATATATGTGTCCTTCATGTGACAATTTTCTTGTCTTTTGTTCCCAGGGTTCTCAGATATCAGATGTGACCAGCAGGGAGCTCCATTCCCAAGCACAAGAACGACTGCAACACTACTTCATGGGCAGGGCTCTAGAAGAGAGAGCTCAACAGCACAGGGAGGCACTGATGGCTCAGATCAACACCAACATTGAACAGTTGATGAGTATGTGCTTATTCCATTTCTGTTTCCTAAAAGGAACACCTATGCAATATTTTGGTGACAGCCATAATCTTCAGAAGGAAAATAGCATTTAGTGGTCTATTAGCCCATTTCCTATCCTCAGAAATTTCTACTTCTGGATCATATCAGCACACAATGTTTTCAACTGATGCATATCCCTTAACCTTCCTGACTGCTTCCCTCAGCGTTTCTATCATTCATATGTACCAACTCAGACAAAGTTATTAATTTCAAAGATGCTGAGCCCTACTAGCCAGACTTTGTTATATAGTAAGAAAAGCTTCTTACACCTACTTTAAAAGTAGATAATGACAGTATTTTATGGTGCCATTATATATTTTTAATGAATTGTTTTCACAAAAATTAATTCACTTGCTTCTCACAACTGCTGGTACATTAAATGAGAGATCCTATCCCATTAAGCCAGTGTTTCAGACGGGTTCTGAAACACTCATTATTTGTGGAGCAGAAGGCATCAGGGTCCTCTGTTTAGTGCCATTTACTTGTAAATTTTGTATTTTTTAATGGATGGGTGGCTGGAACTGAGCCTCTCATCTGTAAGAATTCTGCTATTTTTTTTTTAAAGTTCCTACTCTTTAAAAAAAACCATCTAAAAAAAATCTACCTCTTTGTTCTTTCCCTTTAAGCACAGAAGAATGGGCTACATCTTGTGAATAGTCACATGCCAACTACAGCTGGCAGTAATAGTTAGAATCTAGTTTCTGCTGCTACTGCAGAGTTCCAGCTCTGCAGTTTCTAAGTTTTTGTTTGTTTGGTACGGAACTCTTCCACTCACCTGTTTATTTTTTGTTACTACAGAAGCACCAAGTCTGAAGGAGGCAGAAGGAAAAGATCCTGAGCTCTTCCTAAGTAGATCCAGGCCTGTGGCAGCCAAAGCCAAGCAGGCCCATCTTACCACCCTGAAACATATACAAGCACCCTGGTGGACGAAGCTTGGGGAAGAAGCAGGAGATGATATTGATGTCCCAAAGGATGAACTTAGTGTAGAATTAGGAACTTTATTCATCGGTGGAACCAAACCACCTTAAGTTACCTGGAGGAATGAATATCTATATTTAAAGAGATTATATTGCTTCTACCTCTGACATGCTAGTAGACTAGTGTTATCCTTAACTCATGGTTTTCCAGAGGTTCTTCTCCAAACAAGTCTTGAAGGAAATAGGCAAAGAGTTATTTTCTACCTCAATTTCAATTCTTTTCTTTTTCCACACCTCCATCCTTGGCCACATATACAAATTGGTGTGGCTTTTATTATGAAACTAAACTCAGCATTATATTCTGTTGGTAATATATGTTTGAAATGTGATATTTCTTTTTTTGTTTCTGCTGTTTTCCAACTAAAAGGTGTTTTCTAAATAAATAATTTCAACAATTCTTCTGAAAAACTTGTCAGGTTTACTTCAACTTTTCACATTTATTGATTTTTCTATTAAATAGGCTTCCCAGAAACTGGTCAACCACCTGTAAAAGAATGAAACTAGAGCACTTTCTAACACCATACACAAAAATAAACTCAAGATGGATTAAAGATCTAAATGTAAGACCAGAAACTATAAAACTCCTAGAGGAGAACATAGGCAAAACACTCTCCGACATAAATCACAGCAGGATCCTCTATGACCCACATCCCAGAATTTTAGAAATAAAAGCAAAAATAAACAAATGGGACCTAATGAAACTTAAAAGCTTTTGCACAACAAAGGAAACTATAAGCAAGGTGAAAAGACAGCCCTCAGATTGGGAGAAAATAATAGCAAACGAAGCAACAGACAAAGGATTAATCTCAAAAATATACAAGCAACTCCTCCAGCTCAACTCCAGAAAAATAAATGACCCAATCAAAAAATGGGCCAAAGAACTGAACAGACATTTCTCCAAGGAAGACATACAGATGGCTAACAAACACATGAAAAGATGCTCAACATCACTCATTATCAGAGAAATGCAAATCAAAACCACAATGAGGTACCATTACACACCAGTCAGGATGGCTGCTATCCAAAAGTCTACAAGCAATAAATGCTGGAGAGGGTGTGGAGAAAAGGGAACCCTCTTACACTGTTGGTGGGAATGCAAATTAGTACAGCCACTATGGAAAACAGTGTGGAGATTTCTTAAAAAGCTGGAAATAGAACTGCCATATGACCCAGCAATCCCACTTCTGGGCATACACACCGAGGAAACCAGATCTGAAAGAGACACGTGTACCCCAGTGTTCATCACAGCACTGTTTATAATAGCCAGGACATGGAAGCAACCTAGATGCCCATCAGCAGACGAATGGATGAGGAAGCTGTGGTACATATACACCATGGAATATTACTCAGCCATTAAAAAGAATTCATTTGAATCAGTTCTAATGAGATGGATGAAACTGGAGCCCATTATACAGAGCGAAGTAAGCCTGAAAGATAAAGACCATTACAGTATACTAACACATATATATGGAATTTAGAAAGATGGTAACGATAACCCTGTGTGCAAAACAGAAAAAGAGACTCCTATGTATAGAACAGACTTGTAGACTCTGGGAGAAGGCGAGGGTGGGATGTTTCAAGAGAACAGCATTGAAACACGTATATTATCTAGGGTGAAACAGTTCACCAGCCCAGGTTGGGTGCATGAGACAAGTGCTCGGGCCTGGTGCACTGGGAAGACCCAGGGGGATTGGGTGGAGAGGGAGGTGGGAGGGGGGACCGGGATGGGGAATACATGTAAAAAAAAAAGATACACTATGGTTGTGATAAAAAATAAATAAATAAATAAATAAATAAATAAAAAAGGGGAAAAAAAAATAAAAAATAAATAGGCTTCCCAGATAGCACAGTGGTAAAGAATCTGCCTGCAATACAGGAGACACAGGAGGCACAGGTTCAATCCCTGGATCAGGAAGATCCCCTGGAGGAGGAAATGGCAACCCACTCCAGCTTCCTTGCCTGGAAAGTCCCATGAACAGAGGAGCCTGGAGGGCTGTAGTCCATGGGATCTCAAAGAAGCAGACATGACTTAGCAAATGTGCATGCATTCACAGGAAATGTGCTCTTGGAATTTATTAAGGTGAGGGGAAGAAATGGTCAATTGGAAGACAATTAACTATTTTCTACCAGTGTTTGAATTCAGCTTCTGTCTTCCTATTTCTAAAAGTAACTACATTTAAAAAGTCCGCTTGGGATTCAACGCCAGAAAAATTTGTGCTAATAAAACTGCATTCTTTCTATTAAACTAAGAGAACAATATAATATACTATTTCCGTTTCGATCTTGTCTCCTAGGAGTCTCAGAACTAAAATAATGTTTAATTTCTGCTATGGTTCTCAATATCTACATGATTATTAGGTTCTAGCCTAATAATTTTGAATTTTGCTATTATTTCTGTGTTTTAATGCCAAAAGCCACCTCTATTTGTGTTTTGATAATACAGAATTTACATTAAAATCAATTAAATCATTGAATCCATATCATAAGGAACCTGGAGTGTGCTTTTTTCTATAAATGAGTAGCAATACCAGTATTTCTGGATGGAAAGACCAAATACTATAATGTTCATCCCTCTGAAATTTAGTAAAATTCTAGTCAAAATTCTAATGTAATTTTTATTCATAATTTAGAAAATGAGTAAAATTCATTTGTAAGAATAAATATGAGAGTTCTGGTTTCACTTAGAATATAAAAAGTTCCATGAGAACATTTCTTCCATCTTAACAACAAAAAATTGCAAAGTAATCTATGAAAATCATTTTTCTTGAGCCTATCAGATAGTTGGGGCCTCAAGATAACCAAATAAATCGATGGGACTCAGTATATGAAGTAAACCATTTTATCTTTAAGAGCACAAGAGACAAAAGTGGCTGGAAGAAATCAGCTAAAATTTTAACAGATTCTTAAAGGTGAAGTGTGAGTTCCATGTCAGAATATTTAGGAACTTTAGAAGTTAGAGTTTTACCAAATACAACAAAGTTTGGGAGCAGGGCAGGAGACCTGAAGAGAGACCTTTGTGGCATAGGCAAATAGGAGATGACAGGCTGCTACTGGGTGACATGCTTAAAGCCTCACCTGCTTTCCCAGACCCTTTCTTTAAAGGTCTTAGGCTGCTAGAGCAGGGGTAGCTAAACCCTCTTACTTCGAAGGCTCAGACAAAATTCCATTGTATCTAAGGAAGGAACAGAAAACCTAGCTGTCTGTGCTGGGGACAGGGGTGATAGGAAATAGTCTACAGTGATACAGGTAGAGTCCAGTGTTACTGAGGGAAGTATGGAAATAAAAACCCTGTCTCCTGGGACGGAGGCCAAAAATGACGTTGGGCCCAGAAATCCTACACCTACGCAAAGCAGATGTCTGGTAAGCTAATGAAAAGGAGCAAACTCCTAAAAATCAACCACAGATATGAGGCAGTTTGACTACCATGGCATAAGAAAGCCCTATCTCCAACCCCAGGAAGAAGAAACATGGCCTAAAATTTAGGCTGGATCAGGACAAAAGACCACCCAAGTCTCAACAACGAGTCTAGCACCAAGTAATAAGCAGCAGTAGTTAACCACTGGGGTAGGGAAGCATGGAGACACCCCTTCCCTGAACTCCCCCACCCCACCCCCACAGGAAAGGCAAACAGGGATGCTTGCAAATGGAGGTAAAGCAGGAACATAGAAAAAACAAGTTTTTCAGAGCCCACTACAAGCATAAGGTAACAGCAACTAAAAAATACAGGCACTTGAAGCCTATAGTACATTGAAAATGAAAAGAAAAGCCAGACCCAGCTAAACTCCTGAATGGTTTAACTCAGCCTCCCTGCAACACTGCAATATAATTCATTTTTTCCTTTTAATTTCTGACTTAATGCTGTCTCACTTTCTGACTTTAAACACTACTATGTTTACTACAACAAAACAGTAATTCAATATTACTCAGATAAATGAAAAATAAGACATTTTAAACAGTGATATTGTTAATTATTTGATCATCAACATTTATCACAATTTAACTTTATTGGTTCCTTATTGTGAAATTCAGACTTAAATTGAAGAATGTAAGGAAAACCACTAGGCCATTCAGGTATGACCTAAATCAAATCCCTTATGATTATACAGTGGACATAACAAATAAATTCAAGGGATTAGATCTGATAGAATGCCTAAAGAACTATGGACAGAGGTTCATAACATTGTACAGGAAGTGGTGACCAAAACCATCCCCAAGAAAAAGGAAGGCAAAATGGTTGTCTGAGGAGGCCTTACAAATAGCTGAGAAAAGAAGAAAAGTGAAAGGAAAGGAAAGGATATACCCAACTGAATGAAGAGTTCCAAAGAATAGCAAGGAGAGATAAGAAAACCTTCTTAAGTGAACAGTGCAAAGAAATAGAAGAAAACAATAGAATGGGAAAGACTAGAGATCTCTTAAAGGAAATTAAGAGATACCAAGGGAACATTTCATGCAAAGATGGGCATAATAAAGGACAGAAATGCTAAGGACCTAATAGAAGCAGAAGACAGTGAGAAGATACACAGAAGAACTGTACAAAAATGGTCTTTTTTTTTTTTTAAAGGTGTTAAAGACCTGGACAACCATGTTGGTGTGGTCACTTGCCTAGAGTGAGACATCCTGGAGTGTGAAGTCAAGTGGGCCTTAGGAAGCATTACTACAAACAAAACTAGTGGAGGTGATGGAATTCCAGCTGAGCTATTTCAAATCCTAAAAGATGATGTTAAAGTGCTACACTCAGTATGCCAGCCAATTTGGAAAACTCAGCAATGGCCACAGGGCTAGAAAAGGTCTGTTTTCATTCCAATCGCAAAGAAGGACAGTGCCAAAGAGTGTTCAGACTACCACACAGTTGTGCTAATTTCACAAACTAGCAAGGTAATGCTCAAAATCCTTTAACCTAGTCTTCATCAATTTGTGAACCAAGAACTTCCAGATGTACAAGCTGGGTTTAGAAAAGGCAGAGGAACCAGAGATCAAATTGCCAGCATCTGTTCAGTTCAGTTGAGTTCATTTCAGTTGCTCAGTCATGTCAGACTTCTTGTGACCCCATG